CACAACTCACAAATGTGCGGAGTAATGCAAAGTTAGGACCGAAAACTGTCTCATAGAAAATATCCTCAAGGTAGAACCTTGGACCACTTTATTCACAACAAACAACTGGAACCATCACCCGCTAGCTGCGAGCGCTCATCATGTGCGACGTCCACGGACGTAGCAGTTGCTACATCCGCAGAGCTCCTAACTACTACTATCATACTCAGAATTGCTGTAAGCTCTAACTCTAAGTTCTCCCTAGTCTCTTCTAAACTAGATATGAAAGAACTAACTATTCTACCTAACAGTCAATGTACTACCATCTCGTTGGTTTCCAATCCTCTCAATTTACGGTCCAACGAATATAATTTAAACCACTTCGTGGTCTGGATCTCCCAATCCACATAACCGCGAAGGCAACGTTCTACTCTAGCTCGCAAACTAACAACTAGTACATGCTCCAGACGTCTGATGGTTGTCTTGTCTGCACCAATTTTTCCTTAGCAGCAGCCAACTCCTACTCAACTGCCGACAGTTGAGATCACAAACTTTAGCAATTTGCATCCAACTCTCTCCCGCGTTCCAACTCCGAAGATCTGGCATCCTCCCAACGAGCTACTTCTGCAACCACAAAGCGCTCATATGCCTCCAAACGCTTAGTAAGCTCCTCCGCGCACTGAAATTCTCTCTGAAACATTCCCCGAGACTTCTACTATCCGTTTTGAAGTTCCTCCTTCTCCTTTTGAACTACAGAGACTTCAACTCAAAGAGTCTTGCATTCCTGTTCCTTCTCCGTACAAAGGCTCCTCTCAGCAACTAACTTTTGCCAAAGATCTTTGCACTCCAACTTCTTCGCTCAAAGTTGCTCTTCTCACTCCGGCTAGGTAACTGTCACAGTCGCACACTCAGAAGTCAAGATTGCAATTCGTTCTGTCACCCCAGCGGTTGCTAACGCCTTTGTCTTCGTCCGTATGCGCACCAGCTCTACATAAGAACTCGCTGAAGATGCTGGTACCGAGTACTTCACCATCTTACTATCTAAGTACTTCACTAACGGAACAATCCTCTCATTCAAAAGATCCGACAAACTAAACTCTGCCAACTTGGGCTCACAGACCGAAAGCCCTTTGCCCCGGTCGAACTCCAATGTCTTTGAAGATACCTGACACGAAGACAGCGTCGGTTTTCCGTAATTGTCTTTCCAACTGTCGCCGCAAACTTCTCTGAAGATCCTTCGCCCGAAGTAGTAACCTCCGACTTCTCCGAGGAATCTCTTCGTGCCCATCCGAAGTGCGTTCGTCCTAAGACCAAAGATTTTTGGCCGAAGCCGCCTCTGGTTGACACAAAGGCCGAAGGTGTTGACTCGAAGTCTACGTTTCGGTCTCATCTTCTTTCTCTTTGCCTTCTGCCAAAGGCTTCTCCTTAAGCACATTCGAACATCGACACTTCGAAGGCCATTCATCTTCTGTTCCTGCATCCCGCACTCCCACTGTAGTCCAATGATTAGAAGATAGCTGAGGCTACGACTTAGTCTCGCTGCACTCTTCGATGTCCAATATTTCCTTCCTTCGTCATCATGACTTCATCTTACTGCAAGCATGCACATATGCCATCCTCAACCGCAAAGATGAAGGTCTTTTGGTCCTCAATCCGCTACGTTGAACATCTTTCAAAGCTGAAGTCGTCTGCAATCTCCTTCGCCTTTTCACAAATGGTTCCTCAACATCATCGTTTGACATGTATTCTTCAGCCAAAGACCACGCAGTTCAACGCCGTCATCTTCGTTGACAACTTCATTTCCTCATAGAGCTGCTTCGTCTTCTGATATGATAATTTCCCTTTTGAACGAGAATTTTCTATTCTCCTCCTCTATGAGCAATCTCATACCTCGATAGAAATTGATAAAGAACGGGGTAGATAAATCTGCTGTCTCTCGAACCTGTCATTGACATTCATGTCGTTGACGCTCCACAAGATCCGAGCCCAATGAACTGGCTTTCCCGTCACCGTGCGCTCCACAAATCCTACCTATCAAAACGCGATGTACGTTGTCCGCGAAGGCCTCAAAATTTGCATTAGTGTCATTGCCACATTGCGTCTCAACGGATCGATGTAGTACGTCGTCCGCCATCCATTCTTGGTTGATCGAGGCAACTTAAACACCACTGCGAATGCCTTCTGTTCTCGTTGAATCACCTTCACGTTCTTGTGTTCGTAGAGCAAATCGTCTTTTTGACCTGCACACGGTTTCAAGACTTGAACCCATTGCTCAATCGTCCAATTTTCACGGCGACCACAAATTCTAGTGCTCATTTGCGTGCGATTCTCAAACCACTTCTTCACAATCGCATCACAAACCCAACTTCAACTTGAGAGCAAGAAATTGAGCCTAGCGGATGTCAGCTCATCCTGAAATGCTCTAAATTCAAATTTTGTCACTCTCAATACTTTTAAGTGAAGTTTCGGAACCCGCACCATCGTTGGGCTCTCAATTATTCACTCGCGATACTCTCAAAACTCTTAATTCAATAGTGAATTGTCATGAAATGTTCGCGTTGAACTCTCGTTTCTACTTTTGTCTCTCAACGCCCTAACCGCCTAGTGAAATTCGCGCAAACCGTCTGTGCAAAGGCTGAAGTTCCTTCCAATCGGCGCGGCCTTTTACTTAATCAAAGGCTATTCTTCTTCAAAGCCGAAGGCCGAAGTATCTTCTTTGACTTTTCTCTATCCATACCAATCACTTCCAACATCCATAACTTGATGATCCCTTATCCCTTATCAAGAGTTATTTGGCTTGTTAGAACGAGCATGCCGAGTTCCATCTATCAAGATTTTTTCTAATTCAAGTCATCACTAGCTGAAAACTCTAGCATATCATGATCTATCTAATTTAACTTCACTGATTGTGAGTAAAAACATTAATTTCAGCAAGGGTTAACTAACTTGGATTCTAACTATTCCTAACTATTCATACGCTACAAAATCCTTTATTCAATCTACTTCTAATTATTCTTATCATAAAAATGTAAATTTTTATTCATCTACTCCTAAAACTTCATCTTTTTGAAAAACAAATAAAAATTAAATTATCACGGTTGACATCAAAACGCTTTCACCAAAGAGTATTTACTTAACATCTTGGATGTAGAGTATGGTACTTGTGTGTTTGACACATTGGAATTGCTTTTTTTGAACACCTGAAGGCTTTGGGCACCGAAGTTCTTACACAATTGTTGGACGTAATCAACGACAATGGTTTTACACATATTGCTGCATTTAAACGTTTTTTCAGTTGATCAATGCATCAATTGGCTTTGAACATATGCCCAATTTTAATTATGTGAGTTGTGTCGATCATTCAATTCATTTTTTTGTTATCAAAGTATTTAGTTTCACAAAAAATCCAATGGAAACGTTGTGCGATGCACTTGTTAAGATTCATCGCAACAAGGTGATGCGGCAATAATATCGCTTGAAGTCTGCGTTTGTCGGCCTTAGCAACAAGGAGCCGACACATTAGTATTCTTCAATGCGGTGAAATTTCACATATGAAATGAAGGTCAACGCTTTTGAAAAATGAGCTGTTATTGACAATATCATGAAACAATTTGCAATTGACATTAGTTGTCATCTTCTTTATGATGACCAATGGCAGATGATCAACAATGTGGCTACTTTTTTGCGCGCGCCGAGCCAGGTCATGCAAAACCTTGTCGTTGATCACAAGCCGACGTTCGACTTGTTGTTGATATCCATTGCTCAACTTGTGAAGCATTGCAAAATGAGTGAGTTACAATTATTAGCGATCAATACCAAAATTATTGTAATCGGAGTGAGGAAAAAGATTGAAGAATGTAAAAAATTGCAAGTGCTAGAACCCGCTATAGTTGTAAACTACCTCAGTCCACAGATAGCAAAACCATCTGACTTTGTGCAACTAAAAAAGTTGACAATTCTCATTCGATCTACTCTTCAACGCTGCTATTCGGCCGAATTGCAGTTTCATGATTTGACTATTGAGTTCAAAGAGTAGACAAATTTGCTTTTTTAGATCATGTTCCAACTAGAGAGTGAGATCATCGAGCATGAGGTAGATCAATTATTATCCATCGCTGTCGTCCAGTGTAAGGATTTTATCAACATCTTGTCTAAATGTTAAGCCCATATGAATATCTTGCTTGCACACTATAAGATGGCCATGTATTATCTTGGGACGTCGACATCATCAAAGCGTGTCAATAGCGTTGCTTGTCGTGAGTTTATCCTCTCTCGTCAGTCCCTATTGTCATCGGTGTTCATCATGACCATGTGCTTATGTTCATGCAAAAATACCCAAAGTAACAGCAAACCGAGCAATAGAAGCTGCAATAATTGGATCCAGTGATAAAGAAAAACTTCCATTGATGATATTGAAGATGTAGTCAAACAATTGGAGATTGAACAAAGCGATTGGTACGAATAAATATTTGATGATAGCGTCATGCAAATGCTCTAAAGTCAATTTGTAGAAATGGTTTTTGAATCTAGCTTGAACTGAAAGTTTTTGAGATAAATATCTTACTTTATATTAATGTAGTTACCAAGTTAACTTGTGAATAAATTAAAATGTATTTTTTATTATTATTGAATAATTATTTGATTTATGAATAAAGTAAAGATATGGTTTATTTTTTATTATTTTGGGTAATTACCAAGTTACGAGGTGAAGTAAAAATAAAGTCCATTTTTCAATTTTATTGAATAATTATCTGATTAACGGAAAAAATAGAATATATTTTTAATGAATAATTATCCATTTAACGGATAAAGTAAAAGTAAAGTGTATTTTTAATTGAATAAATACCTTGTTAAAGTTATAAGTAAAGCGTGACCAATGTGTAAAGGAAAGGGTAGAAGTAAAGTAAAGGTGGAAGAAATTTTACTACCCGTTATAACTTTTACGTTACCTATCTGGCTTGGCCGTTAGTCCAGCCACGTTTTGTGAGGACCAAAGAGTCATGGTCCATGACTCTTTGTACTCGACCATTACCACGTAATGCATCGACCGTGAGAACGGTGATCACAGTCCAGACTTGTACATGATGTGGTAGGGGTTTTGAATTACCCTCTCTGGGTTTATGTGATGAAAGCAATCGATTTGAAAATCGAGCCCGGCGATAAGATCGGTGGGAAGAATTCGCCACAGGATTTGTGGCTAGGATAGTATAGTTACGGAATTGTTGGTGCCGTGGAGAAGATGGCAACTATGATGCTCAGAGGTATCAGTAGAGCTTCGGTCGGTTGGATTTCCTCGCCTCTGGCTGCAGGAGCTGAAGGGGAGCTGGATTTTCTGCGACGAGAGCTATCTGCACGTTGCTCCTCAGGACGGCAGCAATTCTGTCGGAATTCTTGGCAGAGACTGTCAACACTAGCTTCCAATATCCCGAGGCCTGTCGCGCGTGTCGGCGGGACTTCGACTGGTAAGTAAGGACCGTTGAGTGTGCATTTGTTGGCACTTTTAGCCACGTTTGCCTGGCAAAGTTTCGTGTATACTCTTGCAATACAGAATGTCGAAATTACGTGTTGTGAGTTGTGGACATCGACTCTATGCTTGATGACTGGGCCATTATTTCATAGAAGCCTTGTCATGCATTCCTGGCCCCCGGTCTCCTTTTGTATCGTATGATTTCGTGGTCTGATTAATTACCACCAATGTGTTCACATTATCCACACATGTCAGGGTTTAGAAATTGCTGTTTGTTGAGGCCCGAGCAGTCTAGAGATTGTTCTGAAATTTGAAGTTGACTTGCAGGCTTAACCTCAGAGTACCAAATACCTTTTTATGTGCATCTATTTGTGGAAATGCTTCATTCCCAGAGCTTGCGATTGCCCTTTTGGTCATGTAGAAGAAGCCGCAATTGAGAAGTATAAGTTGTCCATTGCAGCTCCTTGGGCATGATGCAGGCCTGAACACTGAGGAAAGAGTTGAAGCCGCTTTAACAGATTTCATCTTGGATGGTTCCAAAACCACTTCCATAGCCCACAAGTAAGACAAGCCTTTCAGATGCATAGATGCTTATCACTTGACTATACTGGACGCATGTGCTCGACATACTAGCTTTCAGATAGGAAAATCGAATACGGGGTTGTGTAGGCATTGTCAAAGTTTTGCAGTGCACAACCTTTTTTGTGCTCACATAGTTCATTTTTTATGCTCAGTGCATTAGGTATTGAGGTTGAGGGTCAATTTTCTCTAATTTATCAATTTGCTGCAGAGTCTGGAAGACTGTTGTCAGGCCTGGAGATACGGTCATCGATGCCACTTGCGGCAACGGTCATGATACGCTTATGTTGGCAAAGCTTGTGCTTCAAGAAGCAACTGCAGGCTACGTGATTGGGCTCGATTTACAACAAGGAGCCATAGATAATACAACAGCACTGCTTGATCGAGAGCTTGATCCTAACCAGGTTATTTGTCTCCTCTTCTAGCTGTATAGTGGTCGAAACAAAGTGAAGAAAGGTTCAGGTCATACCCAATGTATTACCATTCTGATATTCTCGTTTTCCTTTTGTCAGCGAGAAAAAGTGAGCCTGTTGCTGTTATGTCATTCTCAGCTTGACGAAGTTGTGGACGAATCTTCAGTAAGGTAAAGAACTGACTCAACGAGGACTTGTACAATGTTGTTTAAATAACAACAATCGACTGCTCCCATAACCGTCTTGATGCGTGATTTGATGATAATATCATGTTGAGATTTTTCTTTGTTTTTCGTCTTTATTTGTTCTTTTTTTGTCTAGTTATGGGTGGGGTCGTGCTCGCACTTACTAATCACATGTACAGAAATCATTCATAATCCCTTGTTCCTGTAGTGTTTTTCAGCAAATCTGTAAAATTTACCCGGACCCGCCAGGCTTACTTCTTGTGACATATATCGTCGCACAGTAGCTCTACATTTTTTTACCCTCTCATGATCTTTTTCTTTCTCCGTCCAGAAAAATGTCATTTTCAAGATTGGTGAATGCTTAGCTTTTTCCGATATTTAACAGACCCTTCGATCACATACATTACTCTTCCTCAACAGATTGGTATGTTTCAATTTGGGCTATCAACCGGGAGGGGATAAAAGCTTCATCACAAGAGCGGAGTCGACTGTAAATGCTGTTCGTGCGGCAACTAAAGTAATCGAACCGCAAGGACTAATCAGTATCATGTCATATGTTGGACACCCGGGGGGCCAGTAAGTGTTTTTTCCTCAATTTTGTTGCACTCTCATTGCAGTTGCAGGAAGTCCTAAAATGCCGTTAGTTGTAAGAATGTACGAAGGACGTTGAAAGCACGAACTTCAGCACCGATTGTTGTTAGTTGAACTGGTATTCTGTAACATTCATACGCTTCTCTGTCAATGATACAAAACAGTCTAAAGAAAAATGGTGAAAGCTAACGCTTTACTGTATACTTTGTGGTCTGGGTAACAGGGAAGAGTACGAAGCTGTACGGGATTTCTTAGCTAGTCTACCTCCCAACGAGTGGGTTTGCAGCCACCTATCGTGGACAAATAGGCCACTATGCCCACACCTCATGTTTGTGCTAAGAAAATAACAATGTGTTTTCCAAATTAGTCTCCTCTATACATGTTATCATTAGTAGCTATCAAGCTTTATCTGAAAGACCAATTTTTGTACCATAAAAGGCTGCGCTTAACAAGCCCTGCGTGGAATCCAGATTTCTTCATAAGAAGAAACAGTATGAAGCAATATGCAGTCTGTTTCTTCTAAGTATTTAATAAATGCCAGATTCATAAGGTCTTTTCTACTCGACTGAACGATTATCTCCAAGTTATCGCTGCTGGCAGTCATGTGGCTTGATTACTCGACCCGACTGTGCATAGGTTTCGTACCCTCGCAGCTTCCAGAGTCTGGTTTGTATGATGTTGACGCGGTTTAGGGAAGGTTTCAGGAATGTGTGGCTTGAGTATTGCTAAACAACATGAGAGTCTAGTTGATAGTTTAAGCAGCCAGCTTCATGTTGTTTCTTCATACAGAAAAACCTGTTCAATCTTTTTGTCGGCAAGATGGATACAGGTGAGCGGTATCTTTTGACAAACATCGAACTATCTTGAGAAAGACAGAAATCTGGATTGCAGTTGTTACTGGTTCCTCGGATGGAGTCTGCTTCTTCAAATGTCTAAGAAGAACACAGTACATAAACGGAGCCTGTCAACAGCTGTGCTTCGGGCTAGGCGGTGTTGAGCTTTAACCTTCTTGCAAAATACACACATGAAGGAAGGATTGAAGATCCCGGAGAAATTGCAAAGCTCAAAAGTAACTTATTCAGTCCTAAAGGAATCATCGGAGATCAGAAAGAAGCCGCTTCAGAACTTGTGGCTTAGTCCATCCTTTCTATTCTTAAACTTGGCCGGGGGTATGCATTTTCAATTTGATTGAGTTTCATTTTGCAATCTTGATTTGCACTCATAAAACAAATTAACTACCAAAGAAATTCATTGTTACAACTCTTCATCCAAATGATACATCTAACGATTGCGCAATACGAACTTCAATCGCTCATTTATAAAACTCAATTTTCAAACATAATTCATCACATAACTTAACTTCAACTATTTGGACATCTTTTTCAAAATTCAAAATACATATTTGAAAATTTTAATTTGAACTGTCATAGAAAAAGCTGATACTAAATTTCTATGATCTGAAATAAGAACGAACAATGTCACAAATACATATAACGAACAAATGGTGACAATAGTGGAGTATAGGCTTTTTGATAAATATACAGTGGATCAATCTTGGTTGTAAAGTTCTCTATATTCAAACTTTAGTTTGAATTTTAAGATTCATTCTTGTTCAAACTTCTTCATCAATTATTCAAGTTTTAGAAGTTTCACTGACTCTCAACTGATTCCAATAAATAATTGCATCTTAATTATGATTCTATATATTTTCAAATATATTTCAAAAAAATCTTAATCATTGTATGAAGATTTTTTACCTTTTCAAAGATCAAAGTCATGTCGTAATCATTATTTCCGTTATACATTTCAAATTATTATTTGTTAAAGTAAAAAACATGCACAATTGCGTATATTACATAACTGGCATTTTAGCTACTGTAAAAATAAATTGCTATTGCAACTACTGTTAAAGTTCAGAATGTCAACTATCAAATCTAAAATCTAAAATTGTTGAGTTGTTTGTGCTGTTTGTGTCTTTTAATTGTGAATTTTTAAATTATTTTTGTATTGATTTTTGAATCATTTATGCATCGCTTGAAAACCTGAATGAAAAATATATTGAAATACTGTTTTTTTATTCGAAAAAATTTAGTCTTTTGCTCAAGACTAACAGTTGTAAAAAGAGACTATGATAACATCTCCGTTTTATTTTAATTCTTGAGGATATTTTACGTCTTAAGCTTTTCTTTAAATTATCATTCTCAAATATCATATTTTTTTATTTATATATATTTATTTACATTTATTCATGTTTATAACGACTTACTTTTCATAAGAAATTATGATCAAATTACTTAATGTAATTTTTTACAATTATTCTTCACAAATTATAATCCATATTCATAATCTAAAATATATAAATATGAGAAAACAGTAAATTTTATCAAGTCTCCTCTATTTACTTTCTTTTTGAATTTTTATTATCTTTATTTTTCATAAATGATTGGATTGAAATTGTTATGGACAGTAACGTGAAACTTTTTTGTTCTTTTTCTCATGATTAATCATGTTATACATGTTTATATATATATATATATATATATATATATATATATATATATATATATATACACTCGTTCTATCATATTTTCTAGTTTTATAAATTAGTTAGTCAAAGTAATCATGTGACTTATGCTAGACACACATTTTTTGTCTGATAATCAAAATTAATCTCAATATTTGAAAAAAAGTGCAAATTAGATGACGTGTTATTCTAACGATTGGATCTTCATATGCATTTTTATGTATAAATATATTTAAATTATTATTATGGATGTTTTTGTTAACTTCCTTGTACATACTTGGAAAATTAATTCACATTTGTAAAAATACATTTGACATACAAGCATGGTTGATGTTGTGTGAAATTTAGGTGCATTACTCATGGAGCATGCATGTTTAACTCTCCTAGCTAGTGAATGCTTTTCACATGTCATATGTATGTATATGTCGTATGTTATGTTTTTAATTTGTGATTGTAGATACTTCTAATGTTGAGTTATATCAGAATGTTATCTATACAATATCATTGTCTTTGCACTTGACATACATATATTCTAGTTCATGAACTTGTGTTTTATTTCAGTCATGAATTAAACAAAAGATTTTTTAATATTCTGAAATTAGTTAACTATTCGAACGTATTCCACATTTAATCTTGAATTCAAACATCCGACTATCAAAGCTCTTGTGAATTACATTTTATGAGCTCAGTATGTCTTGCAATCGACATTAGGGCAAACATAAATTTGGTTTTGGGATTACCGTGTCAATAGGTTAGGTAGCTAATATGTGACACAACTTTAGATGGGGTGATAACCCATTTTCTAGGGTGGCTGTGAGTGGAGAAATGGTAACCAATGTTTTCATGGGGATGATTTGCAAAGAAGTACTGTAATCTCTTCATTACTTTGAGCTTGTAGGCTTATGGAACTATGTGCATAAACATTGTTGAATTTGACAGGTTCTAAGCTGGTGTACCTCAGGTTACTATCTACTTTAAGGAGCTCGAGAGCAATCGCGCTAGTTGATGACTATTGAAATGATATTTTGCGTATGAACCATACGACATATTTAGTTGGATTGTCGATGTTACCCCATTCCGTCTGGTGTACACCATGTGCTACTTGGTGTAGTCTTCCCATAGTTTTCGTTATAGTTCTCCTTGTCACTAACTCAAGAGATTAGATTAGGAAGAATTCGGTGTACTTTTGTTAATCTGATAGATATTGAGCAGTCTGAAACGCAACACGAGGTTTCGCACTATGTGATTTCACCCACAGCTGTTCAAATGTGTAGATTCCTTAAGTCAAGGTCCCCCATCCCCTGTACATTAACTGAATGGCTAGGAGGTCTTGCCAAAACTGCCTTGGCCTTGTCACCATTAATGAGAAAGTCCTCATGCTCTCGAACTCCTTACTTGTTCCTTCAGTTCGAGAACTTACCCTCGAGAAATCTAAACTTCGATATTCCTTCCATGTGAGAACTACTGTGCTTCCAACACCATAACGACCTGAAGTGAAGCTGCCGACTGTGCATACCATGCATATCCTACTCTTGAGAGGGTAGGACGACAGAGGTTGCAAGACTGATGGAATAAATTGCACGGGTTCACTTTGCACTACGCGTCACAACCATCGAATTTAAACGAGCACTTAAAAATCGTCGGTTAGCACGAAACAGTGGGCAATGTGCATTCAACTGCCCCTTAATAGGAGATACACTGAACTTGGGGCATCAATTTGCCAAAGGAACCGACTATGATACAAGGGAGACTGGAACTGGCCCTCTGGAGCATTTGCAGAGTGGACCACTTTCAAAATCTAAAGGTATGACAAAACTTGGTGGAGGCTAGAATAGGTAACCTGGACGGCAAAATTCGAGAAGATCTGGCTTTGCAACAAACCTTCGGGCAGATCTTGTATCTGCGCTCACTTGTCCAGCATATGCTGGTTACAAGAGCCAGCAGAATTATTTGGGCACAGAAGCGCAAGCATGCCTGTTTATATCCTCTACTAGCTGATCTGATAATCTTTTGTTTGACTGGAAATATCTCATACTCAAAATTGGCTCACACCCAAGCTCGGCAATGTTCTCCCCTCCTGATAAACTCTTCAGCGTGCGGGGTTCGTATTCCGCAAGTAAGCTCTCTCCGGACGTCCCGACCAGTTTGCATATTCTCAGCAGCCTGTCCAGACGATTCATCTTCATGTACACACACGATGCACAGCCTCCATTCACAGAACAGCCTTCTCCCGATACAACTCCGGGAACGATGTTCAAACCAGCTGCCGCGAAGGACGGTGACGATGAAGCTGTTGACAGTGGTGCGACGGCATCGGTGGAGACGGGAAAGACGATCTCCACTCCAACCTTGGCTGCACTAAAGCCCTTTGCCCGTTTATGCTCTATCAGCAGCTGCCGAACAGCTTCTACGATCGCGGTAATCATGCCTGCTTCGGTACCTAAGACGAATTTGGGACAAGCATCGACTCCGCTGTCCAGAATTTCCCTCACTTTGATCGTGATGAAGTCCAAGATATTCTGCGTCGATCCGACTGCTCCTCTTCCCCGAGCTCGTGCTTCCATAGCCAGCGTGAACATCTCGCCAGGAACTTCTAAATGCGCAGTCTGATAAGCATCCGAGTACTCGTCCCGCAATTTATTCACCACCTCTTTCCCGAAAAGGTCGTGGACGATACATGCCCCATTCTGATAGTACTGCAGATGTGACAGAACTGTGCTGATGGTTTTCCGGTTGTGCGCCGGATGGACCTTGGCTATCTCCTCGTCCGTCATACTCATCAGCTGCACTAGCATCTCCGCCAAATTCGCCCCCATGTAAGAGTCAGGACCATACCAAAGGGTTAAATCTGGCACTTGAGCAAAAGCTTGAAGAATCGTCTGCAGAACATTCGACGAAGTGCAAGTAATGGTGGGAACTAAAGACTGCGCTTGAGCCTTGGTTTCTAGGGAGGTGTTGATGTAAATCACGTGGAGAGATTTCGGCGTGACAGACGCTGCTTTCAGGTACTCCAAATATTCAGCACTTTCAGCAGCCTCCGCCAGGGAGCACCCGATCTCATCGCTGGACATGCGATAGACTGGGACGTGAGTCAGGCCATTCTTATCCAGAATTGCTCGAACATTCTCTGACATGAAATCCACGCCCAGCACAGCCACAGCTTTGCACCCGACTTCCGCCATCTTGACGGCGTGTTCTGCCATGACCAGCGAGTCCGAAATATGAATGTGCGGCCACTCTTTCTTGGCCGCCACGAGCACCCCTTGGACCTCGGGATCCATGTAAAAATGTGCGACGACGCCGATATTCTTTGCCCTCAGAACCTCCACAAGCTCCTTCACTCTCTCCGGGTCGGGGGTCAAATATTGCACCTGGGCTTCGGCGAATGAACCTTGGGCCTGAATGTCCTCCGCAGTGATGATCAAGGAAGGAAAAGGATCGAATTTCTTCCCCGGAGATCTTCGCTCCAGAAGAGCCCGAACGCGTTTCTGCATGTGGATGCAGATGGTGTACCAAGTGGTGGACTTGGGCACAGACACCAGCATCTTCGCAATGCCGTCCTCATTCAACGACAAAATCTCCTGAGAATCGGTCCCGTTCAGAGATTGCAGGAGCAATCCCAAAGTGCCCCGGACGATTTCCGCATCACTGTCAGCCGCGAAGTGGACTTCGCCATTCTCCTGCAGGTCGACTGTGAGCCACACTCGCGAAGTGCATCCCGGAACGCGATTCTCAGTCACGCGCTCGGAGGCGGGCAGCGGTGCCAATTGGGAGGCATAGTTCATCAACTTCTCCAAGCTCTGTCGAGGGGACGATGACCCCGCCCCCGCTACCTCCTGAATTACTCTCCCCAACTCGCTCCATCCTCTCTCCCCACCCACCGACGACGAATCACTCACGCCTACCTTCACCGCTTCCTCTAATCCGCCGCGGGGTCCCCGAGCCGAAGCCGCCGACGCTCGCAGGGTCTGCTTCGCGGAAGGACGCCCAAAAACTCCGCCGCGCTTGTGAGAAAGCTCATGCTTGGCCGATCGCAGCGTCCCTCGGCTGGGCCGGAACGAAATCCTGTCTGCGCATTGCGAACCTGCGCTCCGCAGTCCAGCAGGCACGATCGGCGTCGCAGAGCAGATCGAAGCCGCGCAAGCCCTCTCCGCTGCGATGCCCGCTGAAAATCCAGCCATGCAAACAAGTTTTGGCGGTTCACCTCCGAATCGACCGAGACTCGCAGACTCGCAAGACACGAAGCAGCAAGATTTGCTCGTCCTCCCTCCCTCCCTCCCTCCCTGCCTCCCTGCCTCCTTCAAAATCGGGGCTACGGCCACGGGATCCTCCGACAGGCTTCGAATGCAATTGCCCTCGATTTTCTTTTGCTTCCGATCCTAATGCTCGAGGCCAGCGGAATTTCCGGCCGCCACGAAGAGAAGCTACCGCACGTCGATCTGCGGATGAATCTGCTGCAAGAGTCCCCGATGGTGGCCGAGAGGTGGTGGCTCTTGGCTTCGGTGCAGCAGCCGCAGATGAGGTCGCCCGAATTGCTCTCGCTCCCTTCCCTTGCTTCTTCCCGATCTTCCACTGCGGTCCACACGCCGCCTCGCTCGGCGGAGGATGACGAACCACGCGGCGGTGCAGCCCATGGAAACCATCGTTCCGCTCCTCGACAAACGTGGTTGGCGTCAGCGGAATCTGCTCAAAATTTGGATCGGCCCGCACGTCGTCGATCTCGAGCATCCGACAGTCGCCACACAGACTCTCACAAACCATTCGCCTTCGATCAGAATTCATTCGCCCCGTCCCCCGCCCCCCGCATACAAACAAAACCAAACCCGTCGACCACTGCTCCGCCGCGTACCTCCAACGATCGATCACTTGCTGCTGCCGGGAGTCCGGGACGACTGCGCTCGGAGTTGCCCACCAGAACCTCCGTGGTGATCACGCGTTCGTCCCTTGACCCGGTTGGCACCCACCAAGTGGGCCGAACAGCTACTTGCTCCGATCGGAAGCCGGTGAAAATCGTCCGCCGAATCCGAGAATTCGAGACCTCCCTCTCACTCCGTCATTCGGGTTCCCCATAATTTCGGGTCGAGATTGGCCGATTTAACGGACTCCCTTTAGTAACCATTCGACGAAGGAACAGATTTTCGATCGATTTCCAAATCGCAACATTCGGGCGTTTTGTGCTCCTCTCCGTAGCTCTCAAAGGTAGAGCCGTCGTGGGAAAATAAAATATAAAATACGGGTCAAATCTTATTTTGCTAATTTACAGAACGACGCCGTAAGTTGCAAGGGAAATACGCAGGGCAAAATGCCTCGTTTGAGAAACTGGCAATGGTAAATGGTAAATGGTAAATGGCAAGGAGCAGGCGAACTACAGGTACCGTATTGTGGCATAGGCTCGTATAGTACCTCGAATCTACAATATACGACAGAACTGTACGACAGTGTAGTGAAGAAAGAAAGTTAAGAACGTAAACGGAACCTTAAGCGAACTCCAAATTTTACTTAAGTTCAAGGACAGTACTCACTGTTCTAATCTGCGCACTCTTGCGCCACCACGTACCCTATGCAGAACGTTACTCTCACGCCCACAACGGTACAGCGCTGTACATTGCCGAAAACGAGCTTGTCAGGACTAGAGTCCGCTATTGGGAACATTTTTCTCCAGCCGAGACTTGAATCCAAGTCAAGGCCAAAGATTGGAGAACCCCAAAGTCCCAAGTCTGAGTTCCGGACTTGAGCTTCGGCGGGGAGAAACTCGTGGGTGGGGCCGCGAGGTGAACGGGAGGCTGTTCCCGTCAACGTAGAGTACTTGGCCGCCAGTCAGGCGGGGACGAGGGGAGGGCGAGCGAACGACCTTTCGCGCGGTGTTTCCTTGGCGCGAGACTTGCTGGACACTTTACCGGCTTCCTTCGGAACACTGCTCGCGGGGCCCACGACGCTTTACGTGGTGATCCCCCGATGCGTCCTGATGATGCGTGCAGCTGCTGGCTGCTCGCGCATTTTCTCGTCATGAGAGCAATCCGACGGGATGGATCTTCAGGAGACGAGCAAAGCGAACTCTGACCTTTCGGGAAAGTAACTCCTCTGGAGTCATTTGCTGGTCTATTAGAGGATTAGACAGAATCTGCAAGTCGACGGACGGCTGCGTCGATTGCCTCCTCGTGCGTGCGGGTCTTCATCGTCCTCCTTGACATGCTTTCCTGTGATGAAAAAAGTATGGCGGGGCTGGGAGAAGCGCCCGTGTTTGGTTCTTTCCACGACTTATAGGCTAGGCAGATTTTTGCGTCTTCCTAGGGCATACGGAAGCTCTTTAATCTTGAGACATATGTTCGGCCGTAGACCGGACTAGTCCTCTTCGTATTATGTGTCAGACGGGAGTAGCTTCAAATATTATGGTCATCATTTCTAGGGACCACGCAGAATTTCGAACTCATCCCGTGATCCTGGTCTAGGATCTGCCTGATTCTCACATCAGTATGTGAACCTTAGAATTTGTACGGCACCTGCTGCTTGAAGCACTTCATCCTTACTTCTGTCAAGGATGGAGCACTTCACTCAAATTAAGACCCAGGAATTCTGGAATGCGTCCAGCTTTAGCCTTCAAACCAATTTCTGAAACAACTCACATTCCGAGTACATTCGAGCATTGCCTGTCCAGGAATAAGTAGTGGTCACCTGAATTGTCTAGAGAGCCCAGACATTCACGATATTCCAGCCGGCAAACAATTGCAGGCGGCCGCTTCGATGCAACCAGTATGTACTCGATCACATTAACGGATCCTGTCAACAACCTCAACAATTTTGAAGATCTACTACGTCGATCAAGATAACTGGTACAACACAGTGAATGCATGTGCCCATCTCCTTGCTGAAATTACCTTCCTTTCAGCCAGAGGATATGGTGCAGAAAGCTGCGATTAAAATTATAGGAGAACCCTGTCACACTCTGAAATTCCGGATTGACGACTGGTTGGATCCAAATGAGCTGCAGCAGAATGCAAATCGTATCATTCCAGAGAGATCTCTTCCTCTCTCTGCCTGCAGCTCAGTGGTTGAGACACAGAGCTTCCATGAGCGAATGTTTCTTGCTCTACCAGTTCGTTGAACAGTCCAAAACCCGAGATCTAAATCCAGGTCTCAGACCTTGGAGTTTAGCAACCGAAGTGAAACCGAGTAACTCTCATCTGCAAAGAGAGAAAGCTCGACCAGTAGGCCCAAAAGGCCAGCAAGGAAAAAAGACAAACGACCGCATGCAAATGCTTGGAGGGAGGGAGGGAGGGAGGGTAGCCAAGCATGCGAAAAGAAGACCTGGAAACCATTAGACCTAATATCTAAGCGATGAAGTGGAAGCTAAGCCGTTGCGGAGTAGCGGCACCATGTACATTCGACTTCTTGCTCATTGTTCAAAGAAGTCGCAGTGCTTGAGAGTTTCTCCCACATTCTCATCATTTCGAAAACTGCTTACTCATTGGCCTTTGTCAGAGACCTTGTCGTTGTATATAGCTGATCCCCTTGCGAAATTTTGGACAATTTATTTTCTCTTCTTTCTCTTGAGCTCGTCGCTTTGAATTTATCATATCTTGGCTTTCTCACGAGAGTTATTGAAGAATTTTGAGAAAAAACTCAGCAAGCGGTCCCACTTTTCTGTGATGGATGAAGAAACTACTGAGACAATCCGAAAGTGAACTCTTCGTTTAACTCTTTCGGTATACGGGATGGCAGAACCCTATAACCCCTCCTTGTGCTGTCCATGGCTATTACAGTGCGGTGCATTCCAGAAGACTGTGAACACTCAAGAAGTTCATGGAAATCCAGAATATCGAGCAGCAAATCAGACAGGTGGACACATGCTCTTATCGAAAGTCTTTAACAAGTGTAACTGGTTCACATAGAGCTTACATAAGGACTCACGCTGTTTGTGTGATTTATACCTGTCTACATTATCTTTTAAAATGCACATCTTTTGATGCGTACTCCATTCTGTCGATCGAAAACCTTATCAAGAAAGGAGGGTTTACTTTATAAACGGCTGATATGTGCCCGTATCAGCTGCTAACGGCTCTGAACTCCTGCTTCAAAATCTGCGCAGTTTACGCTCTTGAAAGAAATTCTTGTGGAAGGTAAAGCAAGAGAATATGTTCCCACGATGATGTATGCATTATGCACCTCGGTGATGAAGAAAGTACATGGTTGCAACAACTGCATGCTGTTGCGAGCACGCGTGCACAGTACTGTCGATTTCATGCATCTTTTGTGGAGCTGGTGTTTCACATGAGCAATTTTTTACTCAAACGTCAAACGAAGCATCACATGGACCAAGAGGACTTCCAGCTTTGAGGTCTTTTGAGAAACGAATGGTGCAGCCTGTTCATTGAAGGCACTTCTCTCAAATTCACTAGAGGAGGTCAGTCTCGGTTGCTCCCTTGCCTGCTTGCTGTAGCTATCAGCTCATTTGTATATGATTTCATTCGAAGGGCATTTATTACCTCTTGTCAAACTACGGAGCAAAGAAATCACTTCAAATAGATGATTTTTGAAGATGAATAGACTAATTCTTCAATTAAATTTCTTCATGTTTTCTGAAAAGGAAATCCCTTAGGTTTCCATTCGACAAAGTAGGGCCTCATTGATCTTGCTTTTAATTTATTTTGTAGAATTATCAAAGTCTCGATGATGCACACTTGCAGAGAATCTGAAGTAATATATAGTTATGCAGAAGTATCTAGAAACCAAATGAGTTTGGCGACGAATGTTCAAATATAGTCCTTATCCACTTCAATTTCAATGTTTCCTGTGAACGAAATAAATTGCCTATTCAGCGGCCCGAATGCTAAGGATACCTACTAATATACGAAACATTTAAGCCTGTATTTAAGATTTTCTAAGAAGTATATTGAGAAAGAGATGAACGACGGGAGAGAGAGATAGAGAGGAAAAAAAAAAAAAAAACAAGTTCTTCTGGAGAATTAGAATAAAACGTTCAAGCTATAATTATAATGCTAACATTTAGAGTTGGTGGCCGCCGACCTTTGCGTTGAGAAGCAACAGAAATTTCTCTTAGATCTAATGTACATCCCCGGCAGTCATATCGATTCTCGTTCCATTTCGCGATGGTCGTATGTGTACAAATCTAAATATTGAAAATTAGTAAACAGTGTACTGTTGGTCGGACTACCGACCAATGAAAGTCCATAGGACCAAGAGGAAGAGACGATGAAGGTTACAAAATAACTCATTTGGTCATGTTGGCAATTTATACATGGGAATGAAAAAATATTGAAAAGTTAATTATAAAAAGATATAAACTCACGAAATGTTTGATGTGTTATTGGTGTACTTATTAGATTTATGTGATTATTAATCTAACAAGTCTCTACACCTACCCATGTTGGAATACACACTTCAATTATGGTTCCATTGTTGATATGATGATGTTAACCACAACAATTGACACAGCGTGACAGATTTAGAACAGAAGTTTATAGTTGCAGTATGCATGCAGAGAAGGATATACAGTGTCGGTTTCTGCCAGAAATCGATACTGTATATCGGTACTGTAAATACTGTGAATTTCTTCCCCTTCGCAGAAAGTTTCTGCGAAGAGGAAGAAATTTGTCATCCACAAGTGACGGCAGTATGGCGATTCGAATCTTGGAAAGTCATAAGAACGCGAAGTGATGGACAACGATAGATCAATATTTGTCAACTGGTCTTTTGTCATATTCCAATAACCTAGACGCAACACTTGTGAATTCAACATTTGAAAAAACCCTGTCAAATAGACAACAGTTCTGTCGCTGAATACCAAACGAATTATATGCTTATTGATTTACCCGGACAGCGACTTGTGCTCCGTGGTATTTCATCCCCCTTACAACGATGGAATCATACGCCAATTTTTTTTTATTTTGGTGTGGAAGTCATAACGTCTCGTAAGCTTGACGCTCAAGACTAGGCATGTTCATTATGTTTGATACTATAAAGAGGCTCTTTCACCTATCTACAAGCAGCAGATTCACTGATGTGTACCTTCCAAGATGTAAGACATTGAGCGTCATCAGCAAGTCATACGAGTGACAATTGATAAGCAAGTAGTAACCTGGTTTGAAAGAAAAAATCCAAAATTTTGGATCAAAATTATGACAAATCATGTGCATTCAGATTGAAAAATAAAGGATAATAGTTCAAAGGTAAGGTTTGTAAAAACAAGAAGGAAAAAAAAGACCCCTAAGCGATAACTCTTCATATGTCACCATATATGAAGCTTTTTTCCAAGGCTTTTGAAGGATATAATTTTAAGAACAAGTTGTCCGGAAAATACATGTTATCATGTCACATCAACCCGGAATAATGTGAAATTTAAAACAAAGACGATATCTACGAGCGTTGACATACACCTTTGTTTGAATAAGGACTTTGGCGTCGGATCGATCTCGTTTTATATTTCATGTCTATTAAAATACTCATTTTAAAAGCGTTGCTTTGTTTTCCGAATCCTAATTCTCTAGTTTCATTATAATTGTTAGTTTGACAACTACCTAAGTCATTGTTGACTGCATGGAAACAAATTGCACCCAAGATTATTACAAAAATAACGGAATCCCCTATCCTGCAGAAAGGTGAAACTAAACAGATAACATTGTGTTCTTAGTTACAACGCAATGAGAAACGTATCGAGAATCAACAGTTGGTTGGAACCCGTCCCGCAAGAGACAGTGACTACAACTCGAGAATGCAGAGAAACGTTTCTTCGAGTGCTCGTCATTATTTCTCATGTCAGGAAGCAGGGGACAGGAATCGGTTGGGGTGGTGGGTGTCTTCCCATCTCGATAAACTGCGACCAGGTTCCCCCTTGCGCAACTGTGACCCCATTGTCTTCTACTGAACCAGCATCTCTTCTATTGAAGGCCTTCTCCCTGTTCAGTGCCCGTTGGACAGTCCATGCCAGCACACGTGCCATTGGCTGAGTAAGAATGGGCTCTTGGAGTAAACATAGATCAGAAGAGTGAGAATGGTCAGCATATTGTAGCGGTTTCATTAAACATAATCTGACAGCTTAATTATACGAGTGTGTTTTCTCCTTTCAAACGCACATACTTTATGCTTTAGATTCCACAGAGCTTCGGAGGACTTGTCCAGTATCTGGTTATAACTTGCTGACTCCAAAGGTTTCTGCCTACAAATACATCTTACAAGAAGAACCAAATGCAAATGAAAAATATACACAGTTCAAGAACCCTGAGCCTCTCAACAAGCCAAGGAAATGTAATATACTGATCGTAATCTTCCATGCCTGGTTAGCCGCTTATCTCGTCCTTGTTCGCCTTGAAGGGTCTTCCCATCCAGTTTATTGTTTGATTAACCCCGTTTCATGAACAAAAAATAATGATCATCTTTGTCGCAGATACGGGATATCTGTTTGAAACTGATTCTTTCTATTTTCCTTTCCAAATTTTTTCAAAACTGTTTCATTAATTCATCAGTAAAGCGATAGATTCAAGCGGAAATCTTCGATGAAAACCCGGTGCGATATAATTCCCAAAAATGATCAATGAAACAGCGAGAGCAATCGTCCTTCATTCTAGTTCAAACTCCTTACTGTGTGAACAGCTGTGTACGTAGAGCACACAAAAAAGTCTGTACATTCTCAATGAATAATTTAACTCTGAACCTGCTGTATTTTCGTGCTTCCTTTACACAATGTGCGTCTAGAGGATTTTGCAAAGCGATGAAACCAGATGGGTAGCGGGGCACTTAGAGCCCAATAGCATCACAATGTGCCATATGTACACTGCACTTATTAACTATGAACGTCCAACTGTCTACATACTAAAATAGAATCCAAAACAAACGTTATTTAGCGTGAATGATCCAAGGTCCATTGCAATAACCAGGGATCTATCTAAGTCAACGGATGTCTATTAAAATGATACTACTATAAGCTATTATGGTATATTCAGCGCGCTATCTCAGGAAAGTGTCCAAATCCTCGCATCTAACGCAAGAGCACATGAACAGATGAAGAAACTCACTAAGATGCTTATACCTGAACATATGTAAAAGTCTGCATATGAATATACGTACTTACCATTACGTATGCACATACATATAGTTATATATACGGTATATATTGTGTGTATTAATATTCATATATATGGTGTACATCTTACGTACCATTTCTGTCGTAGTAATGATACTTTGTCACATGATGATATATGAGAGAAACATTAAAAATGTGGAATAGTTTTGGAGTCCTGGTCGAGGCTTAGAAATTTAGCAAATGTACAGTGGTGACTTAAAAACTTCCTAACATTTGGAGGGGATCTCACCAACCTGTTCTGAATAATGGAGGGCGCATTTATGGAGGTTGAGTGCGGGAGCGCACGCGAGGCCCTGCCTGGCTGCACTTGTCGCTCGATCAGTGCTCGATATATCCCGAACTTTGGTCAATGCTTCCTGATCGGGAGATTCTGATCTCGTAGTAATAGTCCCAGACGCTCACACCCAGCTGCACTTTCTCCTGCTCCTGCTCCTGCTCCTCGCTGTCGAGCTCCAATGCACAATCGGAGGTGCTCATTATTCGTGCACGGGGATCACAGATTCTGCGTTTGAACGAGACACCAATCTCCGACGAAACGGTCCGAAACGCCGTCGAGAACATTGCGAGGCTTGAACCGTATCGTGCTGCTGCTGCTGCTGCTGCTGGCATCCTTCCTGAGAGCGAAGCAAATTTGGTTTCGAGAAGTTGTTCGACGCATGGCGGAGCGACGTTCTGGTGTCGGTGTCGGTCGTTGGTGTTGATGGGTGGCGGGCGGTGTTTCTGATTCGTCCTGACGTCGCGTGGCTGACCGACCTTCTGCCTGTCGGGAGCGGAGAGCTTTCGTGCTCAATTGTCGCACGAGAATAGTGACGGAGCGTGGGAGAACGACTTCATTGTGCTTGTATCGTTGTTCGCTTTGTGGAGGATAGCATTTAGTGTGCAAACTCATGATGAAGGAGCACCGGAAGGTCGAGGAGCTTTATTCATGGAGGAGTTCCTCTTCTTGCACCAAGCAGACGACTTCGTGAAGGCCCAAAATATTGTCGGCGAAGGTGCTGATTTTCTGTGCACCGAAGACGTGCTCGCTGGTTGAAAAGTTCGGAGACTCGCTCGAGGGTTCGCAGTTACTCGTCGAGGCTTCGGAGAAGAAGAGTTTCATGGAGGGTTATTTCCGCAATCTGGTGGGAGGGCATGTAGCTCGATACGACATTCCCCCTGAGGGTATCAAGGGAGTAATATTGCATGTTTTGAATCAAGATGGGATGAGCACGATGCTCAGCGTTGTCGGGAGTATCGGCAAGTCGACGAGCGCCTGGGTGGACGGAAAGCCCGTAGATTTGAACCGGATCTACGAATTGTTCATGAAGAATGCTGATAGAGAAGAGGTGGTCGAGGTGGAGACTATCAATACGAGGAATCTACAGAGAGCTTACAATAGCTCCTGTGGTCTTAAGAACTGGATTGCTTCAGTTCAACTGAAACTGAAATGGCGAAACCACAGAATCACCCTCGGCGATATGAAAACTGACAAATGTATTGGCTTCTGGCCGCCTGAAGTTCCTTTTGTCATCGATGATGCTTCCAGTATCTGATAATGGAAAGCAGATCATCGGAAGCTACGTTTGCACCTTTTTCCGTATGTACAAATGGCGCACTGCCTCTCAGTATGAAGTGGAACACCGGTTACCTTACCTCGGCGAGAGACGATCTGGGATTAGTAATGGAGTGTGCGGCTCAGCGAGCCAGAATTGATCGACAACTGTGCGCGGCCTCGAATTCTCTCTTTTTCCTTTTTCTTTTTTATTCTCTCGATATTTTCAATTTAGGGTTTTGAATCTATGCAGATTCGACGCGACAGATGTGAAACCGGCGAAGAAGATGTCTTTCAGTAGAAAACAGCAGTGTAAAGTAGGAAACTGTCTGACATGTACTTCTCTGACTGTATTCTAAGATGCAAGTCAACGAGATCTATCTTGTGCAAGGTAGATGCCATTTCCAGGAAATTACTGTGTTCTGGCGTCCTCTGTCTAGCGACAAAAGTGACTGTTACTCTGACTTCGATCCAAACTCCATGCATGAGTGTTGCCAGATCCATCTTCCCGAGGTGTGCATAGATGTCTGTTTTTGATGTGCTTATATTCCATCCTCACGTGGTCAAACTTGCCAGCGAAGAAACTGAATTACGTTGTGGCTATCAGAAACCTCAAAGAAAAGCTGAAATGGTAACATTATCATGTTTGCATGGATTGTCGATCTATCTTTGCGGTCTACATCCGTTTTGCATAATCTGCCTCACAGTTTCACACATTCTCTACGGCCCTATGGACCTCCTTATAGACGTAAACTGTACAGGAGTAAAAATTGGTTCCGTTCATCCACTCGCTTGGTGACATCGTTTGCCATGGTTACGTTATACTTCGGGTTCGCCTCGTTTCTGCGATCGGTTCCTCAGAAGTATCCTCGCCTGTCCCTCCCTTTCTAAACAATTGACATAATTGAATCCACCGAGCTTCAATTGCACCTAGGGACGAGAATCTTTCCCAACGCTATCGTGCTGGTGATTCGGAGAGCCCGATCCGCATACTTTCAAGCTTCGTCACAGTCTCCGCGTCTGAACCAGGATAAGTGAAATCAGCATTCTCACCTACTTACAGTACAAATAGCAGTTTCCTCGAGGAAAAGCGCGTGAGTAGCGACATTGGTGCAGGTGTTCATGTAACGTAGCATGTTTCTCTACACCTGCTCCGTTTACTCCTTTTTCGGCATCAGTAAGTAGTAGTAAGCGAAATAACTCGAAGTTTCGGCCGATTTTAGCACCATGATTAATGCCATTTTGGGAGCACCTCAAATTACTATTTCAATAGAGATGGTAATAAAAGTAGAAACCTCTTCCGCTAAAATCGAATAGCAAACAGAATCAAACGTTCTGGTACTCACAAGGACTCTTGCTGGCTCTAACATACTCATAAACAAAGCTACGGCTCCCCTTTCTCCATCAGTACTGTACATGAGAATTCAACCAAGTATCTCAAACTCTGCTTTTTACCCATCCAATGCAGGCGGAGTCTTGCTCTCCACACCAAATCCACCTGGTGTCCATATGGATCCATATTACATCTACGATTATGTTTCTACGTCAAGTGCATTAGGTTACAAGCTTGAGCTTATCGAAGTCAATCGTGAGCAGGTGGCATTGCGAAAGTTTAGCTGAAGGTTGCTCCTGAGGTTATCGACTCTGCGACCTCACATCGGTCCACTCTTTACATGTAGTAGAGGAATGTGTGTGAAGTCGACAGCACCCGTCAACTGTGCCTCGTTGAGGCAGCTTCAGTCGACGTTGTGCTGAAAACAGTGGATGATGCCTGACTGGACATGATTGCCTTCGATATTAGCGATAATGTCAGGAGACTCAGAACTATCCTCTCGTGCAGGCAAGCAAGCAATCCAAATTCAGTTCTCAATATGGACGGATACATTTTGTGACAGATGATAGGCTGCGACGTTAAGTTTGCTTTAGTACATCCTCGTACAAAGTTACGTCTGCTGCACAGGAGGTGGCATCGGCACTAACTTCAAAAGATCGTTATCAAGTACTCTGCGTTCGAGAACAGATGCAGCGAGATAGAATTGTAATGATGTAGATAAATGTAACTTCGGCAGTGCCCAACCCGAAATCGAACATAAAGTGGTGGAGATTCCTGCCTCTCCACCCTGCTCTGTGGGTTCGTTTTAGATCTCTTCAAACGCGACGAAAGTCTCGTCGGAACTAAGAGTAGGCTCTACGCGATGACAAAGCTTCCGAACCAGTTTGCCGAGGGGTTTCTTCCAACTACTCCGGAGTTTGACTGTGATGTATTCTCACAAGTTCGATGTGTACAGAAACTGAATGCTTTTGTACGAGGCATCGCCGCACTTCGTGCTCTCTAGCTTCCAGACGTTACAGAGAACTTCATTTTTTTACCGAAGCCCTATGTCTGGGTATGCGGACGTCTGTGGACATACACATCTGAGCCAAATGTAGCTCAAATGAGAAGGAGAATATAGGTTAGCGTTATTCCGCTATCCACAGGGAAGAGGGAAGTGCGCCGTCGACGAGCCGACTGGTGTAGTGTTCTCTCGTTTCCAATGCGGTGGTGCATCTTCAGTATGACCGCCATTCGACACTTGTAATGTATTTGTATATCCCAATGAACCTTTTCAAGGTGCGTGTTATAAGTGTTATTTACAGACAGCCATATACAGAGAGAGAGAGCGCTTTCCTGCACTGGAGCATGACGTTGACCCAGTATGAGATGTTTACCCTTACATCTCACAGAGAGAGGCTTTGAGAGGAATACAATGGAGATGTCTCATTCATTCCCAGGGGAAGAAGATGCCGATGGCGAGATGGTTTATGGCACCGGATGAGAACCGGCACGCGGAAACAATACATCAGATCATAAGACCGATTGAAGTTTGAACATGTAATGCATCCGATCCCCTCGACCCAACCTGATAGTCTGGCGCAACAACTTTGTGAGTTAATACGGGTCCGACAGCAAGTTCATGCCGAACCTGAAGTACTGCTTCCTCATCTTTCCTCAAACCCCCGCTTACTCTGCCTTCCTCTCTAGGATAATGAAGCTCTCGGCTGCAGCAGCCCCAGCAGATTACCAATGAAATCCATTGGAAAATCTGAGATAAGCTTGACTCACATTTCTCAGCTGTCAAGACACTCTATAGACGATACACTGTTGAGTCCTCACACGGTAACAGGATGGTATCCTGTATCAACTGGACATCTCCGGAACTTAGCCAGATTTGTTTATCAGTCCGATCTCCAGCAACAGATTTAAAACCAGGTTCAACACAAGCCATTGACGAGCCACTGACACGGATTTCTCTTTCCTGACATCGCGGATCATGAAATGAGCAACATTTCGGCAACCCATCTGCGAAGCTATCCAAGTTTGACAGTGGATGTTAAATGTGACACCATAGAAATTTGATGAGACATCGGAAAGCCGTCATTGTCAGACGAGATCGGAGGGAGTTAGGTCTACAAGATAACGGCGGAATAGCTCGAGGCAGAATTCAACTCGTCTACCGAAACTCGGCCATCGTTTGCACCAATGAACAGGGCGTCGCCAGCAAAATAAAAATGATTGCAGAAACTGCGATCGGTTGCTATCGTCTGGTCCGCTCCAACAATCTCATTTCACTACAACCTCCATAGACCGATGCTCGGGATCGTGTGACCTCTGCAACCCATTCACTGCCTTCAGTGAACAAAACACTTGTCAACCGGCGAAACTCTGGTTAAGTGATACAGCCAACCTCCAGCTTCGTAGAGACAGTTGCTCCTTCATTCCGGATTTGTTATTTACTCAATCCCATGCTGCCCATTCGCTTTCATCCCTGCATGAAAAGATGGGGGTCTCAGTTGGCCTTGTGTTTGCTCGGCTGTGCGGTGGTGTATTTGATCCTTTTTGCAGTGGAATAAACTCACCAATTGCTTCAAAAAATAAAAAATAAAAAATGGGGGTTTTCCGATCCTTTCTCCTGTATTACTCGATGTTCCCCCTCCACTTCATTTCTCGAAATAGGTTTCCTTCGCATGGAAAAAGATATTCCAGCAAAATAGACATAGCAGAGATTTACGTCCTATCTATGCTCTACATTTATTACAGCAGTATCTTTTCCCCTGACTCGTCGCTCGATTAATCTGCTTAAATTGAAGTCTTTCGACAGACGCTTGATATCCCATGCGTTTCCCGCATTCTATATATCCGCATTTAACAGCATATATAGCAAAGCCTGTAATATGTTCAGTCGATGACCGAGAGCAGGCCTCTAAATCTTTGAAGCACTCAAAGAATTGAAACAAGAGTGGATTATTGTCCGCTGTGGCTGCTGACTCCCGCAGGAACTGGTTAAATATGCGGGTTATCTCCAGGTTTTGAAAGCCTGCAAATGATCTCTAAAGTGCAGTTGTGCTAGTGATTTGATTGTGGAATTATTTTTCATATTATATGTTCACTATTATAATCTCATGTTCAAGAAAACAATCAAAGGAGTTCTGATTTTGGGCGTGCAACATAAATTTACACAACCGAAGGGTACCCCTAGCTAAGTAACCGCGGTTAGTTAATGACAAGAAGAGGGGTTTGGCGTGGTCAGGTCCGGGGCCTTTTGGGAGGAACCAGAGAGATGTTATGTGTTAATCTAGGGTTCAAGGGAGGAATCGACGGCGTCGGGGAGGGTCACATTAGGGTTTGGCCAACACAGTCCCGCGGTGTGGTGTGACGCTTTTGCCAAGTGCAAGCTCCCTCCCCGGTTCTCTCTCTCTTTCGCCTCTCGAAACGAAGCGATCCCTCTCCGTGTCTCTCCTTGCACTCCCCGTATTGTTGCTCGTCGCGATTGCCAGTTTCAGCCATGGTGGAAAAGGGCAAGAGCCGAAAAGATGAGGTCGTCACCCGGGAGTACACCATCAATCTCCACAAGAGATTACATGGCTGGTATGTAATTTTTGCTCTTACTTTCGACGATTTCACACTGTTGTTCTCACAACGTAGATTGAATCCAGAATAGAATGCACTCAGCAGCGATGAATCAGGTCAACTAAAAAACTCGTGAAACGAATTCAGCTAAATTACACCTTCAAATGTCGAAGAAAGGTCTGGATGAATGCGTAGGCGAGTCTGTTTGCATGAAGAAGTATTTGTGTAAGCACCTGGTCCGATCTAAGAATCGGCTGCTAGTCCGCAGTAACCCAGTCTTCCGTCGACGATTCTGGATTGGTTGTAGACGCCCAGTGAAAAGTAGGTCAAAATGAACGAAAATAAAGTATATCAACTGTATTCGGGAGGTGTGATCTGTGAATGTCCCCTGCTGCACTAATTTCCTCCGGACGGTGTCTGGCCTCCGAAGTGTTGATTTGTTCCAGTTACCAGTCTGTTAGATTTCTTTTTTTACCACTGCTTCTGCCGTGGAATCTAGACAGGAGGAAAGCCTAATAGAAGTGCCCCATTTTTGCCGTTCGCAGCACTTTCAAGAAGATGGCACCCAAGGCCGTGAAGGAGATCCGAAAGTTCGCCCAAAAGGCCATGGGAACTAGCGACGTAAGGTTGGACGTTAAGCTCAACAAGCACATCTGGAGCAGAGGTGTTAGGAACGTTCCCACCAGAATCCGCCTGCGCATTGCCAGGAAGAGGAACGACGATGAAGACGCTAAGGAAGAACTGTATTCCTATGTCACGGCAGCTGAGGTCCCCCCCGAGGGATTCGCCAACGTTGGCACGAAAGTCATTGAGGAGGAGGATTAGGTTATTAATTTTAGGTCACATCACCCGGAAGGTGACATACAGAATCAAAGATGTTTTGGAACTTGAGGCTGTCTATTGCAAATTTTCGAAGGAGTCAATGGTTGCAGAGTAATTGAATCTTTCGCAATGGCTGTGGCGTCCCCCGCGGTGTCCCTTGTTTGACTGAGAAAGCTCCACTGTGGTTCATGCTACAGTTCTCGTCCCACTCGCGTCTCTCGTCATGGAGGATAGCCTGTCCGAGGCATCTAGCGGAGGAGCACCGGTCTGGAGTCTAGATGCCTCGTTAATCCTCGTATTATAGATGTCACATCGGACCCTCTGTACACTCTAGATGATAATCTTGACATCAGCACATCTTTTCATGGCTTTTGTACCAAGGCTTTCGCATAACAGGATTCATTGTATTCAGTGAGAATGTCTAGAATGTCGTCGGTGTTGGCTGTTAATAACTGTTTTCCTATGTTTTTGCGCGTCAGTGTTAGTTTCGACGAATTGTCGTCCTAAATTTTGTTACGTGTAACTTTCCCCGAGCTGTCTGTCGCACATCATCATGACCAACCAGATTGTGACTTCTGACTGCAGGTGCATACCCTCTATAGTCTTGCGTATCATCTGATGTCCAAAACGATTTATTCCCTGTCACGTACCTTCCGATTGTCTGCAATTTGTTGGTGAGGTTGATGGGACCTTCGACAGTAAGAGTCCAGAGATATAGTTGTGGACCGGAGTTGATATGTTGCCAGCGGGATCGAGCATGCCCTCGACGTTGCAACCTGCTTTATCTCCACACGTGAATCTTTTCTTCATGTCATACATTAGTGAAACCGTGAAGACTTTCAAATCCAAATCGTTCAGAGTTGAGCAGATACTATCGCTTTCGCAATTCTTTAGAGTACGTTAGCCGCAGTCTTGCTCAAAGATGAGATGTTGGTGTGAAGCCATGCTAGTACCGGTAGTTTGGAGTTTTTAGTGCTGACATTAGCTGTGGTTGGTGTGTTATAATCGTTTCCACAACTCACTCGCTAATGTATACAATGTGCACTGCTTGAGTTAAACCGTTGTCTGCACCGCGTTAGCGGTGCAGACAACGGTGCGTTAGCGGATAATAATCAAATGAATTAAAAGATGAAGTGACGAAGAGTTCAATATGTTCAAACTAATACAGTACTCGGCGAAATCAAATTGCCTATGCGACACGTGACATGAGTAATCACTGAGTGACAACGGCGGACAGCTTGGAGAGAATCAATCTAATCTTCGTATGTATATGGCAAGATGGTTGGTAGATAGGTATACCGCAAACTGTCCAGCCGCCAACTTCCAACAAGTTATACACTGTAGACATAAGCAATAACCTTTTACTCCGTTTGTCTGAAGCCTCATCACTTCGGCTGAAGCTCGAATCCGCAGTGATGTAAACGAATTTGGCGCCAACCAAAATAACAACTTCCTCCAGTGCAGTTCACACACTTGCTTATCAAGTAAAATTGTGTAGCTAGGAACGAGAGAACGTAGATAAAAGCTCTTCGAATTAATAACGTGACGAAGTGTAGAAAGCATTCAAAATGCCCACCACAAAAATCACACTTGCTAATTACATTTTGTAGCCAATACAGCAAGTAAATCGACGGAGAAGGAAGATTGGACATGAACAGTTTTTTTTAACACTCAGAGTGTACAGATTGTCATCGGTATGGTTACAGATGTGGTCGTTCTGACATGATAGATACGTTCAAAATAACAGCTTCAGAACTTCCTTCTACAACCTTAGAACAAATACCATGCACCGCGGTTTCACGTTAAAGTTAGCAGGACCAAGATCATAAATTTTTCAACATATATTACATCTTTGTCAAAATTTTGAATACATTTAATAAGAAAGATGATTAGTGAGAGGATTTCTCGAAAGGGGCCAGTAACCGAGCGTTTGTCAACTAACAACTGTCCGTGCTCTAGTTATCAGTGTAGTATTTCTGTTGTATCGTAGAGAATATTTCAGAGGTTGGCTTTTACTAACATTGATAGTATGTTTCATATCACTGAAATATTTTGAAGTCTACTTTTTGCCAGGGTTTAGGAAGGAAGGAGGGTGTCTTCTGCCCGCCATCCCATCCGATGAAACTTAATACAGGTAACATTCTGCTGTAACACTCTTATGGCCTGATCTTCCATTCCGAGCCACAACTAAAACTCGTAAATCTCCAGACCCTGAACATCTGGAACCAATAAGGAACTAGACATCCTGGAAACTCGAGAAATGGCAGGCAGGAAAATCATTGGGTGTATGTCTACATGCGGCTAATGTCTAAGAACAATGTGAGAGTCTCTGACGAGTAGTATCTGACAGAAACTAGCTAATAAACAGAATTATAAACAATGCCTGTGCGATTAACTCTACTTCTCTATACGTCTGCTATATCTATCTAACTCTAGATATCGTTTGGCAGCTCTAACTGCTGCGCTCCATACACTTCCATGGTCTCGGGATTTTGCAGAAACACTGCAACTCCACACTTTGATTTCACGAATCCGTCCCAAAGTTGGAAAGTGACTTCTCCTCTACTCATCTTCTTCGCTGGCCAATCTTGAAAAGAACAAGCCTTATGTAACCCCCTGACGACGTAATCATTCGTCAGAAGCTTGCCTTTGTTCTCACCCTTGTTGCAGTCCGTGACGAGCCCATTCTCATAAATCGCCAGCATCGCGTCCAACGTGTAACCTTCCACCTTGAACTTCAGGCTCACGCTGAGGGAAATTTGCAGAAACAAAGGCGAAGGCCTCGAGAACACGGCCTGCAGAAGTCGCCACAACAAGCTCTCACACAGTTACGACCAAAATCTCAAAGTGACAAGGCGATGATCTTCAGACGTATACGATGACAAATCCTAAAATCACAATCGAAGGCGTCTTCAAGAAGCGCTTGCTTGCAAGGCCTGTGTGTTTCTCAACACATGGTTCACGGCGGTGGTGATCATGCTGGAAGGCCGATGGCAGAATCCGCGGAATGATGGCGACCATGGACAAGGCCAGCCATGATCGAGGCATTTACGAGTCGAAAGAGGTCGAATTACAGTACACACGGAAGTCCGGGCTGGACACTTCAACCTGAGCTATGGAGCAGAGGACGAGATTCGACGACAAGAATCTCACCTGGACATCCGGGGCAGGAAAGCGATCGGCAGATTGGATTAAAGAGACGATGGAGCTCGCGTTGGAAGCGATGCAATGGCTGCGACCCTGGACCACGACCTCGGGCGTGTAGATCCTATCTTGCTCCAATGCTTGCCCGTAAGCTCGTTGCTTGAGCGTCCACGCGCTGCTGGCGAACGGATCCTTCCATCCCAGATAATCCCAGTACTCCACATGGAATGCTAAAATCACGAGCGGGATGGGATTCTCCAATTTCACGTCGTCTCCTTCACCCTGCGCAGCATCGACGATAGCGATCAGAATCAGCACGCGGACGAGAATCGTCTTGCGGACCCGATCCGCGTCCTCCATTGCCTGCACGAGAGTACAGCGCAGTGCCATGAAAAATGTCGGTAACGAGAGGAAAGGGAATTACCCTTCCCAGCCTCGAGATGAGCGCATCGGCTGGTGGGCACGAGGTGCATCCTTGGGAGGTGAACATTTCCACCAGAACGGCGCCCTGGTTTGCGCCCTTGGCTGGCTTGGGGCCTCTGACGCCGGATTTCCTCGCGTCGGCCCCGAGTTCACTCGCTCCATTTTGTTTTGAAGATACGCTCTCTCCATTTTCGGACCGTAAGTCGGACTCGGCAGAGCTGTGATTGTTCACTTTACTGGCATCTTCGCCTCCTCGCCTCCGGCCCCCGCAGCAGCAGAAGAAGCGACTCATCGTCTCTCGCTGTAGTCCGTGGTTCCTCCGAGTCCGTGGGATCGGGCACGGGCCTCTCCGACTGCCGCTCCTTTCACGGACGATCGACTTTCGGAGATTTCGCGTGAATTTTCGCAAATCGAAGTCGATGCGTTCCGCGCGTCGTGAATTCAATGCTCTCACTCACTCACTTACTCACTCACTCCCCGAGCTGCAGCGGCTGGGACTCGCATCCGGCCCTGCAATTATGGCTTCAAACACCTGTCCCCTTAAAGTGCTGCAATGTGGTGAGCCCAGAATCGCCGAGGAGCGCAAAGCAAGGGCCTTCCCGGTCGCAATCGACACGTGCGATCGGGCGATTGAGTCCCATGTGGGAACTCAGCAAGACACCAAAATCCGGAAAGGTGTCGTGAACGCGAAACCAGCGCGGAAGGAGGGCGAGCTCGCCAGTCCAGCAGCAGCGAAAGCCAACAGGTCGACGACGCCTCAGCCTCAGCCTCCTGCTCACTCCTCTCTCGCTTCCCCTCACCGCAACGCGAAATGCTGCAGCGATCCCGCGGGTCCAGTAGAAGAGAGCCCCGGTCGTCGTCGTCTTCGTCGTCGTCCGGTCCGAATCAGCGCCATTCGGCCACCATCGAAAGGACTTGCTTCCCAAGCAAAAAGCTGCGAGCAAAAACGATAGAAAATTCCCTTGCCCCCCGACAGCAATCAGAGAGCTCGACGCCACCGCGCTCCGCCTCTTTTACGAGTGTTTGCCAGCCATGCTCGCTCTCGGCGCCGCGCCAACCCGACCGCACCGGTCCCGTCCCGTCCCGTTGACAGACCTTTGAAAAGAGCGTGCAAATTTCCTGCTGGCCTGCGGTGCGTAAGAGCGTGCGTCAGCGGATCAATGAGTCAGTCGGTCACACCTCCACCACCACCAACAACAACAACAACAACACCAGACCCCTTGAGAGAATGATCACTCGTGCTCCTGTACCTCAATCAGTTGGTGCGCAAGGGCTCTCTCTCTCTCTCTGACTCTCACTCACTCAATCAATCACTCGAGCTCGGATTCTTCAATGCCGCCGGTCGTGTTGTGGTCGTGGGGCAATTTTTTAATCTTGCATGCTCAGGCTGGCTGCCCGATCGACGAATCGATCCATCGATCCACCGATCCGTCGATCCATCGAAAGAGCCACAGATTCGCCGGCACTTCAGCCTCGAGTCCACGAGAACCGACGAGCGAAACGTGATTGTGTTCAGATGTGTCCGTCCTTCGTCGTTTTCCGAACGAATCTGCGCGGAGATTCCAGGCAGCGATGCCAATCACTGCATCGGACTTGTACGTACTTTACTGTAATAAAGCACAAGGGCAGCTTCAAAACTTGGACTTCACTCTCAATTAAAGTCCGGGACATTTATCCACAAATCATCATCGAGGGCTCTCACTTGTGGTGAAGATGAGGGGATCCCAATAATTTAAACTGGGCAGCATCGACCAGTTCAGGTGAAGAAGGAAGACTTAGCTTAGCGCTGGCAGAGGAGAGGGTTTGTGGCGTATGAGACTGTATTTGTGAGTGGACGGACTTCAGAGCCTGCGGAGGACGACGATGGATGGACTATTGAAGGATAGAAGAGTTATTGATTTGTTTCATTTTGCGTTGGCTGTACCGAACGATGGGATGGTTTGTCCAAAGGATAAGAAGAACGACGACAGTTGGTCAGTCATTGAAACAAGCATTGCCCTCGCCAAAAATGGGGAAGGGAACGATTCACCTTCTAACTTTGTCATGCATCACTCTGTCGTCACGCAGCTTATCTGGATCTCTGCCCAAGCCTTTTCGAACACTGGTGACCCTCTCTAATTGATATCTGCTTTTTAGTCTCCATAGCTGCAAGATTTCCTTGAACTGCAAATAATGCAATTAAGAAGATACTCCATAATTTTAATAAAAGAGTCTACACCCAAGTTGTCATATTTCGAGAACGTCGACTGTTCTGGAGGGGAGCTAAACTAGAATCAATGGGGCGAGCAATAAAGAATGAGTTCCAAAAGGTGTTCTATGGGGCCTAGGGGATATTCAGTTCTTTCTAAGATCCCCAAAAGCAAAGGAGGAAAACACCGACAATACCAGATTTAAAAAGAAGATGACCTCAACTTCACCATATGTAGAATTAAGGGCATCAGTAGGGTTGGGCTTAAAGCAACTTATTCCATCCAGATATGCTTCTTAAGTCTCCCAACTTTTGGATTTTCATTATATTCTTCACATGCTAAAACGTTTATCTTTATTTCAAAGTCAGGATATTTTATGTTACAACATACGACATATTTAATTTCACTGTGATACTATTGTGACCTGGTTCCATTCTCATCTGTCTTCATGGATATTCCCTCCCTTTTTGCTATCCACTCGGCACAGTTTCATTTCAAAGCATACGTCAAAAGGCAATTTTTACAATATATAAGTTGAGTTCCGATTCTATCACATGATTAAGACGTTTCCGAAGCCCAGCTATTTATTGCTGCTTGAAATCCCTATTAACCATGAAAGATGTAGTTCTAGAACTGATTCTTTTAAAAATGTCCTAATAAAAGGAAGCTTGATATCTAACTTCTTGGTTTTTGATTGTTTGTTTCACATCGTGATCTTCAACCAGAGATTTGTTGAGTTTGTGTTGGAAAGTTTGGAAGTCATTAACCAAAAGCTAGTGTGGAGTAAGGTTTCGATGAGATTCACGGCGTGTCGTTGTTTAGGGTTTACAAGCGCCATATTGATCACCTAAAGATCCATGAGATTTTCATGCATCATCAATTTAATCGCACTTAGAGAAATATCATTCTTCTAGATTCATGGTGAGTTAATTGAGAGTCAACTGACTTCAACCTAAGTGAAAAAACATCTTTAAATTCATAATCTACATCTCTACTTTGATTGAAGTAATTCTATGTGAATATGTTGACCAGAATTGTTCACTAACACTGTTTTGTAATTAATCCCTTTTGCTTTATAATATTCATCAAACTAGATAAAGTAAAAGTATGAAAATCATACATTTGATAAAATATATACATCTTTGTTAAAGCATTAGAAATATAGCTATATGAAAATTTGAAAAGATAAAAAAAAAAAAAGCTCTCTTGTTATTATTCTAATGTGAATACATTGAACATAAATTTTATCAAATTTCAACATTTTATCATCAGTCAAAGTATGTTAAATCCTTGACATTGTAAAAAAAGAATTTATGTTGGTAAAATATTTCCATAAAATTAAAGTTCTTATTAATAATTAAGGCTTTATTTTAAAAATTATTAATTATAATTGCATCTAAATAAAATTGAACAAGTTATGAAGTTGTTGTTGATTGTGTGATAAGTCTCATGTGCATTGTTAACTTTGTCTGCCTAATAGAACCACATGTTAAAGAAAATTTTTTTAGTAACAACAATTTTTGAGATTTGTTTGTTAATAAAATTTAGAAACACATCATGATAAAATACTTGATTTCTATGAACTATCTTAATTTTTTTTTTTAAGTTACACTAAAGTATAACATTTGGACTAGTTTTAAGTTTATTGTATGTTTTTCATCTTCCACATTATCCATATTGATTCTACCATTATTTTTGAAATCCATTGTATGTAATTTTAAATTTCATTCAGGTTATGTTTAAACAACAAAATTTGGAATTTTTTTCCTTATTTTGAATGATTCCATTATCTTCTCTTTGTGATACAATCATCAATTTTTATCAGTTTATATGAATTTTTGTCCTCATAACATGATTTATATGTAGCTTTTGCATGATAAAAAAATTATCACAAATTATTTTTTATCCTTCACATATTCAATCCTTATCACTAATCATTATTATGTATATATTTAAAAAATATCTCACCAACACAATTTACTATTATTACTCTCATTTAACTATGAGCTATATTTTTGTTAATTATCCCTGATTTTTTTTTGTATGGTTCATAAGATGATAATTTTCATTTCATTCTTAAAAAATAATATCACTTGTTATTTTTTTCATGCATGCATAATCAATATGATGAACTAAATTAATAATAATAAATTTTCAAAATTTTCAATAAATTTTTACATTATCATTCATCATATTTTTTAACTTTACTTAACATAAATATATTGAAGTTTAAGCAAGACAAGCAATCAATTTCAAAAGTCTACATAAAAAATCAATAAGATTTAAATAATTATTAATAAAATATTCTACCAACATCATTTTTATATGAAAATTATCTTTGAATTCATCAGTTGAAGTCTTTCAAATTTGACTTTGACTTTGAATTATAAAATTTTAATCTAAAAAATTCACATTTTGAAATAATGACATACATCTTGATTAAAAACTAGGTTTTTCATGTAAATATTTTCTTATGATATTTCCAGTTACTTTTGATTTGATCTCTATGTCAAGTTACTTTCTAGTTTTTTTCATATTGGTAGAAAAACATTTTATACATTGAGATTTGAATCAAAATAGACATATTTTGGAATTATGTTTTGTAACTTCTAATTACTATAATTTAGTAACTTAGACTAATTAGATTATAACTAGCTGATTTGTGATCTGCTTATTTAATCTCATTCAAGTTTACGTGAGATGACTTTTTAACAACTCATAATTATTATGTATTGTTAAGTTTCATTTACATGACTCGAGTGTAAAGTCGAGGCATGTAGATGAAACTCATACATTTTTTGCACTCATCATTCAATATAAACTCTCGTAGATGAAACAAGTATTCTCACAAAAATATCTCCAAATTTTTTGGAATTTTGATCTTAAATTTTCTATCTATACTATCTTAAAAGATTCTTTATCACATTTACATTTCATTAGATGTATTTTGATGATTATGACTCATTTTCATGAAAATCTTGCATGATTACATATTCTTGATCATATAGTACATTTTAAAAGCTTCTTTATCTAGAAGCTTCTTGTGAGTTTAAAATGCTACATGTCATCGACAAATTTAAAATTTATAAATTCTCAACTTGTCATGAATGCAAATTTTTAATTTCTTCTAAACAACAAATTTTCTACCACATAGTCGAAGCAATTAAGATTAACATTTTGTCAAATATATTTCTTATTGGTTCTAAATTTTGAATAGATAATAAATTAAAATTATCTAATAAACACAATATAATTAGAAAAATTTAGAAGTTATTGATGTTCAAATATATCTTCCAGATTTATCCAAATAATTTTCAATTACAGAATTAAAGTTAAATTCAAACATAACTAGTTAAACTTGGTCATAATCAAATTAATGTACGACTAATACATTTGAATTATCACAAATATTACATATCTTAGCTCAATGAAGAACTTTAGGTTTTTTAAATTAATTTTTTCTCTATTTTGTGTGGATGTAATCTCATTGAAAGAAATCATTCAAACCATATTTTTTCCACTTGATAATTTTAATATCCTAGTATATGTCTAGAATATATCATTTATTGATTTATTGCAAACCTTCAGTACAAAAAAAAATTGAAAATTTAGAAATTATTGACCTGAAATTAAAATTCATAGAATTCTTCATCTTTTCACTCCATAACAAATTCGTTAAAATTTTATATATTTTTTCACACAAATATATTAAAAATATATAAAAATTACCATTTTATGATTATTCCAATATTATAAAAATACTTATATTTACTTTATTCTATTCGATAAATTTTTTTAAGATAATTTTCATAAATAAAAAATTAAACAAGAACATATTTTTATAATCTATAACATTAAATTGGATATTACAATATTTTTGAATGCATGATGAGTTTTGTGTCTTTTGCAATCTTGATACTTGTGGAGTTTAAGTTGACATCTAGCGTTTTAAGTTAACGGTCATATTCAATCCAAACATTTAAGTATTTATATTTATTCAAATCAAAGAAGTAGAATTATGGAGTTGAAGATTTTGTTTCTTTAATCTAGATTTTTATTCTAACCACAACAAAAACTAGTGATGCTCGTCCCATATATTAGTCTACATTTTGTTACAAACAAAATTCTAATAGCTATATGTAATTAAAATCAATTCAATCATGAGCAAAAATATTATAGTGGAGTTAATTTTACCATGTTTACAGTCGTACAACTATAACTCTTTGTAAATAAAAAATAAAACGAAACTCACTTAATTTCTTAATTTTTGTGTTAATCTACTTAACACAAAAATCTCATGGAGAATAATCAATGAGGTTTGTATTACGGAGGAAAATCTTCATAGACAAAATAAGAAATTAAAAGAAACAAAAAGCACTGAATTATCATTTGCCAACTATAGAAGCTATCATCAATAAATACATCTAGAATTTTTTTTATTTTGATGAAATGAATTAAAGAATATCAAAAATCACTTGAAATCAAGTGGGAGACTTCATACATTTATGCAAGTCACGAGGAAAGATAACATGGAAGAAGGTGGACATAAAAACTTGATCTAGGAAAGACTTTTTTATTCTAAATCTTTCCTATATTTTGTCCAAGCCAACTTTTTTTTCAAGATTCACACATTAGTCTTTACTTAGCAAGAGTCATATATTCGTCCTTTCCCTAGTTTCCAAGAGTCAATAATGAGTGTACATCTCATTATGCAAAAACGTGAAAGGGGAATATAAGTTGTCGATAGTCATTCATATATTTCTCCATTCCACGCAAGAGGCTTTATAAATCAGTGATCTGTTGACTCCAAAAGATCTCTAGAAATATCGCAAGACAACCGGTGAGACAAGCGCATGTCTACTGGATGTTAACTTCAAAGCTGTCCCCCTTGCAAGTCACATGTTGTACAGATTTTGTATTGGGACATGCTATGGAAGCGCTGTCAAGGGATCTATATCAAAGCTTTGAGTACCAAGGGAATCAGATCAGCAAAAATTCCAGCCTTGAGATCTATATCAAAGCTTTGAGTACCAAGGGAATCAGATCAGAAAAAATTCCAGCCTTGGGATTGGCAATCGCCGCCGACCGTGGGGATCGAACCCACGACCACGTGGTTAAAAGCCACGCGCTCTACCACTGAGCTAGGTCGGCTTCATGTCAAACACTAACAATGTATAATAATTGTTTATTATATAATATTACTAGTTGACGGACCAAGTTGAGTCCTGAGTATAGTTAGCTCGAGAAGACGAGCTTGTGACATGATATGAAATCTAACAGTTCGCAAGTGTACCGAGCAAGAGGACAGTAGGGCCGAGGTCAGCAGACGGCAGGCAAGAAGCTGGACGGGCGAATCTGAATTTCAATGGTCTGCGATAAGTGTAATGTTCCAGCTCCCTCTTCTCTTCACCTCTATTGTTTTCTCGTTAGTTTGAAATTATACATAGTGGAATCAGACTCAAGATTGTTAGGTTTTCTGCAGAAGCTCAAAGGTTGTATCGTTGAAATCATCTCCCGCTGTCCTCAGTTACGCTCAGGGTATTCGTTCTGAATTTGACATTGAAAATTGGAAGCGTCGCGGACATTGCATATGTACGCCCGTCTCGTTTTCATTTATTAAGTCCTCGTACGCGTGTTTAGTTCCGTGTTGAGGCGTCATTTTCTGGCCGAGGTGCGGCGATGAACTGCATTTCGTCGATTTCCTTGGATCTCCATCTGTATGTGAGATCCGAGTGCAATACTGACGGTGAACTTAGGTTCATGACTTTGAAATATGCTGTTGACTTTTAAATCACCTTTTATTGTCTCATTTTTGCTGTAAGCATGAATATAGAGCGAGACGTGGCACATTCAAACCCTAACATGAGATCGTATACTGCAGGCCAGAAGAAACTGACGAAGGTAATTGTGCCAGACAAATGGAAGGAAGGCGCCAGCAACACAACTGAAGGTGGTGGGCGGAAGATCAATGAGAACAAATTGCTTAGTAAGAAAAAGAGGTCTGTATGTGATTCCATCTGACAAATTGAAGCGTGCTGCCCTTCTACTGTACCATGAATAGCGAGAGAAATTTTTCAACTGGTTGAAGTAAAGGAAATTCGTACAAAATAGAGCATCGATTGTGCTGTCGAGAAGTAGATGCTCAAACAGCACTAGTCATTGGTTAGTATGAAGTCCTCTCTGGGACGAAGATTCTAACTGTATGTTTGAAACCCAATTGGTCGATCCTGCCCTGAATGAACGCATTGCCGTGAGACGATATATCTTCGGTGTATATCTGTGAATAATTACTTCCACGTGTTTGAATTTGAAAGTTGGCGAGCAATTATAAGAGAGGAATATACCGAAGGTTGGCCTATTGTTTTCGTTCTGATAGTCTTGTTTTGTGTACAAATTTGAAATCATCTCAGTTTTATGTGATATTTCCAATTGTATATGTCGAACGAGCTTGTCTTGCAGTTATCCTCATCACCAGTCTATGTCGGTTATGGATGGTGGTCACGTTGGCAGTTTTATCGCTCGAAGCTGATTAGGAATTTCCTTTGTGCAGATGGACTCCATATGGTGTAACTAAGTGTGTTATCTGCAAACAGCAACTTCATCAAGAAGCTAAATATTGTCAATCTTGTGCATATAAGAAAGGTAAATGTCATCTCCTTCTTTCTCTTGTCTTACACTTTGACCTTCAAGCCAAATGCTTCTCAAGACTAAGTGAATAGCAATTAGAAGTGTGTCAGATTTCTCTCAAGTACTGAGGATCTGTTTGCTATTTTTTGTACGTGATGAGACATGCTCCACAAGACGCCCGAAGCATTACGAACTACAGTCGTGTTATGCGCCATATTTCTTTGCGGGCCTTGACCTAATTTTACTACTGGTACTCTCGCAGGAGTGTGTGCAATGTGTGGTAAACAAGTATTGGATACCACCTCTTATAAGCAGAGTAACGTCTGATTCATCGAGTATGAGGCTTAGGTCTCTGTTTCAGAAATGTAAATATCAATCTCTTATCATCACCAAACTTCGCCCATGAGGCGTAGACCAGACATCTGTATTTGCAGATCATAAAATCTCATAGAAAAACGATTCAACAAGGACGTCCTCAACATATGTCAATAATCTTCTTTAATGTTTGTATCCACAAGTGAAATTTCGCTTTGTTTGCAGCACTCGGTACTTGCCCAATTTCTTTCCTTGTCTGTTGGTGTAAGAGGCTCTTGTGCTCTGTACCGCGTTGTACAATTTGTTCTTTTCCAAAAAAAATTTAAATCTCAAACCCAACCTTCCATATCGAACATAAACATCCAGGCACACAGGATCAAATGCAGCCATGTGAAAGAAACTGATGGACAAATGCATCTATTGAAAACCAGTCATCTTCAAAGCATGAACGCATACCAAAAATCCACAAGCATATCAGTGAGGACAAATCTTACTCAGATCAGGTAAATCTCTGATGCCATATATTTTCCGAACAATTGTCTGAACGAAGGTATCATACCATTCATCGACCTGTTACGTAAAGAGACATACCTCATCCTCACTTAAATGCTTGCCCAACGTACAGCCTTTGGATATACCCCAAAGGTCAGACCTTGTCTTACGGTAGACAAAGCTCCGGACTCTTCCCTGCCGAAACTATCTTTCGAAGACAACATACTCATCGGAGGCTCATAGGATCGATCTCTTGCGCCGCCTCGGAAGTAAGAACTGTATTGAGAGAATCTTTTCTGCGCTAAAACATTCATCGACGGTTGTGTCTTCAAGATCCTGGCCGGGTGGTGAAATAAAAGAAGTACCAAGTGGCATTGGACAATCCGAATAGAAGAAGGGAGGGCCGAGGCACCGCTGGAAGGAGGTAGAAACTTCATTAGAGAGTGAAGAGGTCGGTTCTATTTCTAGAGGAGCACGGGCTACAGAACAGGACAAGGAGCTTCTCGGCAGGTAATTGTGGAATTCAAACTCCAATCTGATTTCACTGGCGTCGAAGAAATGTTCTGCTGTACAAAGGCTTTGAACGAAAGTGAGTTGTTGATTTTGATGTCCTGCTAAGAGATCTAGCAATTTGATGCTGAATGTTGTCTGTCGTTCTCTACATGTTGGTTTTTTGTTCATCTCTTAATCAGCAAGTAGATTTATTTGTTTGGTCCTTAAGAAACAGCAAAAATCACAGGGTCTACGATCAGTCATTTGAAGGAAATCGATGGGTCATCAAGATTGGATGATGAGAATTTTCATGTTCTCGCAAGATCAGATTGTTCATCTTGATAATGGATTTCGACATTAGCAAGCCTTCAGTGCGTAAAACGTGCGTAAAACTACGGGAAGTCTCACCACTTGCATGCGCTTCATGATTTTGCAGGCAGCAAAAAGTCAGATTTCAGTGGCAGATGCAAGCAGTTCTTGTTGTTTGAACCTTAGAACCAGGATAGGAAGAATTAGTTCAATCGCTCAGTAAATTGCAAGGATTGGTGATGGGAGAAGATGGAGTACCAGGCGGATTGAAACTACAGAATACGCCAAAGTTACGAGATTTCATGAAGAAAGTAGCTGGGAGCCCCAAGACTTCCGCCGATTGTCGCTGTGACATGATCAAGTATGAGAAGGAATCCGCTGTGCCATATGAAATTCTACGACAGGCCTTCGCCCAACGGGCCTTAGACGACCTCCAACCAATCCATGAAGTGCTTGTTGGATCCTCATTCGTTTTGGAAAGTCCCAAACCTCGTGAAAAGGTGAGAAAGCATTATACTTGCCAATCTTTGAACACTCTTATCGAATGTACATATTTATGTTTTTAGTTCGTAGACCTGGAGGCAGAGACAGGAGGAGCACGCTAAGTTGCCCTGAGAGCCCTACTTAGGTTTGAAGCAGAGTGACTTTCGGCACTCGGGATCTAGCAATTGTCCTTCAAACCTAAGTAGGGCTTGATAGTAGTGCACATTTTAGAGGCAATACAAGCCTTGATAGGAAACACGACGTATGAAAGAGGCTGGCGACTAATCAGTCTCGATTTTGAAAAACTCGATTAACACTTTACAGAAAGTATAATGTAAGGCCATAGAATTAGCTCGTCAACAATGAGCTTTACTCTAGAATGTTCCAGACCCTTGATTTTCGACCCACTTTACCACACGTTGAGGCATGAATTGTCAATAAAAAATGGCTCAACTAATCGAGCAGGAAAGAATGTGGGACTTTTTAACCCTAATGAACCAGGTGTGTTGTGGGGCGAGAAGTTCTAGGACATTTCTTGACGTTCCTGAATTGTTTGTTAATTACAGAGTGAGGAGCTGAAGGCTCGACTACAAAAGTTACAGGAGTTGGCCGATAATAAGGCTTACGAGAAGCTTGTCTCTGATGTTACTAAGAAGAGCAATTATGAACCGGAGGTTTTCTCTTCTTACAAGGAACAGCTGGGTTTTGGTTGGTTAAGCATCTTTACATTGTGTTGCTGAGCACTATTGCCAGTCATCGTAATCCTTTCGAGATTGCTTCAGTCCATACCGTAGTACATTATTTTAAGTTTGCGTGCTAATTCAAGATCACCAACATACAAGTGATATTGGAAGGTTTGGAGTTGCAGGGCTACACGTGGTGGTGACTATGTTCACAGGCTTTGCGTTCGGATATTCAGTCTTCAGGTCGCAGTTTCGTGATAACCCTGTGATTGTAAGAAACATAGATTCCTACTGCCTTCCATCTTTAATTGTCCTCATGGAGACCTTGAAACACGAGCAGGGATATGGTTTGCAAGTCTTTAGCTGTGATTGACAAATAGAATTTACGATGTACCTCTGGGATTGAGCTTGACCTTTGTACTATACGAAAGCTACTGGAGGATACATGTGAGAAATTGGCATTTGATTAAAATTGTACTGCAAGTTCCTCAACATTCGTCCCTGGCTACCATGACCATATTTCTAGTCTAATATATGGCACATGCTGATTAGATTTGTTCTTCCTTTGGCATCAGCAGGTGTATGGCATCGATTTTTATACTGAAACATACACAAACATCCATTGATATCTCTGATTGAAATTTGGGTGTATTTGCAGCATGCGGCAGGTGGAGCCTTGGGATTGATCATAGGAATGCTCTTGGAAACTCTTCTTTTCATCGTGCGCGATGCACAGAAAGCAAAGCATGAGGAACGCCGGTCCAAAAAAACGGCACATAATGACTCTACACGTACAATTGCCCCTGATGTCTTCACCACCACCACCACCAATTCATCTACGAGGCCTCCCGGTCCGGTCAAACGCAAGGTAGCGAGGATTCCATTCAGCACTTCCTGACGGAAGATGATTGCGCTTTTCTTGGTGATCGAGGTTGACAATTGAAAGACCAGTCATGATGGATACAGTTTTAGAATCCTTTGGCTGCAAAAAATCGTTCATCGTCATAGTATATTCAAAGCGGCTTGCATCCAAGAGGACGGGATAAACTGGATTCTAGGGAGGGGAGGAAAAAAATATAGGGTGATTTCAAGCCTGGAGGTTTGATTTGAGTAGGTGGCAACAGGTAAAGGCATATATGATATTCGGAATCTCCTTGTATCTTCTGAAGATGAATAGGATGTCCAGAAACTTATCTTCCTCACAGTGCACTCCAAGTACATCCAGTGGGGCAGCAAGCCACCGTAGAACATCGAGTGACATCCAGAAACTTGGTTTTGAACTCCACGTTGAAAAGCGTGTACGCTCTTCAGTTTCTTGTCTTCTCCTACATTCAGCAGTGAGTCAACACATTGCACATGTGAAGGTTTAGCTTCTCAATAAAGCATGCAACTATCAAGTACATGATAGAGAGGATTGTCCCCTTGGTCCGAATTGATGTCCAGGAAAAGTTTCGTCGTCTGCAGCACGTAGTGTCTGGTGTGAAAACCAAGAGACCAGAGCAATACAAGAGAAGTATTTTTTTGTTCTCAAAGATATATTTTTTCCAAAGTACCAAGAACCAGAGAGGAAAATCTGCGAAGTAATTCAAATGATTCTTTTAAATACAAAAGAGTTGATCCATTTCGTTAGTTGCGCCCAGACCTTTCACCAACAAGGGCACTGCTGTTATTATTCCAAAGTCATGGTAGACTATTGAGAGCTCTCAGTCTCGATAAAAATTCCATCTTATGGAATTCCACCAACAACCGCCCACTAGTCACATGAATACTGAACAATGACAATGACGACTACGTTATGGATCTGCTACAAACGATTAGCTTGTCACGCTGGGTCATGAACGGGATGTGATCATGCCGATACTGACTGTTTTTGGGTTGGCATCTAGATTAACCGGCAAGATTGGTCAATTGTGGTGGTGTTCAATAAAGATCTCTATTCCCTTGCGTTCCTGTTCATCATCTGTCGAGAACAATAATTATCTTTTGGACACTGATGTCAATTTTACGTAAGTTGTGCCGTACATGTGCTGACCATAAAAATCACTCAGCGGAGGAAAAGATGCTGCTCTTCCAAATTCTATGAGCCTGAAAAATTTGCCCGTGATATAAGGCATTCCTCCTTAGACAAGATAGCACTGACAAGGAAGTAATTATCTGTAGACATTATTAAAGTGGATCTCCCTCAGATTTGAGACGTACGTGGGTTAGGGAGTTTGTCTATCTAGGTAGAGCATGATACGACTTCAGACCGATTTGCCATCTTCAGAAACTATCAATGTGATCTTCATTTCTGAGGAGCTTTGAAAACTGGAAGTTAAAAACTTTAGTGGAAACTGTAAGCTACATGGAACTCAAGATTTCTGTTACCATACTGCATGCGCAATCTTCATAGCGTTGAGGACACTTCGAGTGAATTTGATGAGGAGAAGTTATGAACGTTCGAGAACACAATCTAATGATTCAGATCATTGAATGGTGCCCTATGCTGCCACCCTACTGTTTGAGAATTTACATATTGATAAAATATTACATTACGGGTGCCGTGGGAATCACTTTCTAAGCAATTTACAAAACCTTTTGCCATCTATTTACGAGGCTTTGACCTATATCTCTTGGAAGTGTTCTTCACTGCGGTGTCGGGAAAATTGTTGTCCTGAATGGCAACGTAACTGCTAGATGTTACAGATGAGTATATAAAGCGTATATCTACTGGCAATATACGTTGTGAAAAGCAATCTGCTTGCAGAGCTGTCTGACACTTTGGCTCATATCCAAGCATGAGGGAGCAATTTACAAGTTTCTCGAACAGAAGTGGAAGTAATCAGAAAATGAAGACACTCTCGTGATTGGTGATTTGGCCAGCTACGCTCATCTAGACTGAGTATAAACTTCACAGTCATCTAAACACGCGCTCAACTTGTCCCAGGAGGACCCTGTTGAGAATTGATACCGACATCAGTCCCAAGTGGCCAACCACCTGCGCGAGAACCTGCCTGAGAACCTGCCTGAGAACCTTGAGACGAACCAAAGATCCGTTCGAACGCACTCTGCATCAATCCAGCATACTGAGGAGGGAGTTCTTGTCCATTTAAGGTGTCCACTCTAAATTCAGACTCTTCACGATGTGCACCGTTATCGTTTACGCCTCCACCAGATTGGCCTCCACTAGATTGGTCTCTGGCATTTGGACCTGGACCCTGGTTCGATCCAGCAGATGGTTGTGTTTCTTGAGCTACTCTTTGTCCGAACTGAGTAGCCATATTCATAAGACCAGGGAGAAGACTGGCAATTTGGTCTCGAATCTGCGCATTCGTCGAGGAACTTGTGTTGAACCCTGAGCTGGAAGTCTGATTGCTAGAGCCCTGGGTAGGAGAGTCTTGAGATTGACTGGTCCTCTGCTGTTCTTCCAATCTCAGTTCAGCTGCGCGAAGATTCTCCCGTACAGATGTGCTAGAAGGATCCAACTCCAGGGCCTTCTTGAAACCTTTTTCTATTGCGTCTTGCAGCCGACCTTGGGCATAGTAGACTAATCCTAAACGACTGTAAGCCTTGCTGTAAAGTGGATCCAGCTTCATTGCTGCATGGCAGTCCGCAATTGCGTCCTCGTAGTTCCCGTTGGCTGTTAGAGCTGCAGCTCTGTTGGAATGAAATATGGCATTATCACGGCACAACGTAATAGCAATTGTATACAAATGAATAGCTGTGTCATACTGTAATGCGTTCAACGTGATGTTGCCCTGGATTTTGAAAGCCTCTGCAAGCACAAGAGCATCCTCCGTATAATACTTGCTCCAGCTTGGGGCAGAAACAGAAGATCTGACTTTTTTCCTCGCTTCCTCCAGAACACTCATCGCATGTTTCAGCTTCTCCTCGTGTTCGGGCGTTCCTTGCACAGTCCCTTCGAAAAACCCGGCGTTGTCCAACCCTTCATTGAATTGGTTCAAAAGTAACTCATCCTCAGGTCCAGCCGAGGGCGAGGCACTGGACTGCGACGATTCACCCGCAGGCGTGGTCGGGGCGCTCGGCACATGCTCCTTTATATCACTTGCATGCAGCACACCGGCTGAATTAAACAAGTCGATCAAAGAAATCAGGCGAATCCGCTCATCCGGCCTTTGATTGTTGATTCCAAAAACTTCAGCCAGACACTGCGCAGCAACCTCTATTCCCTCCGTATCTTGCCCTGGAGCTGCTTCTACGGTGCTCAAAAACTGCAGAAACGAGCTGACTATGCTCCTACTCAAAGAGGAATCGGTCCGAAGCGATGAGACCATTTTCACCCCACTCCCTCTCGCCCTTTCTATCTCTCCCCTCCCTCTCTGTTCGTACTACCTTGACCTCCCAGTATCAGATCATCCGCCTCTCTCTCTTTTTCCGTCTTCTGATCTTCCTGCCCTCTTCCACCTTCTTCCACCTCAGGATTCTCTAACGCCTCGTACCTAAGCTACCTCGCCTTTGCTGAAATTGATAACACTGCACTTCATAATCCATGAACACTCGGATTTGTGGCCAAAATCGTTCTAAAAGAAGGAGCAAATTTTCCCCATGACACTCCGCAACACCTGAGAACCCTAATCAGGAGGGCAAGGGAAAAGGATGGGAGGAGGCAGGAAGCGCGACTCCGACAGAAAACAATCACCAGCGCGATACACAAACTAGTAACTAGTACTCGCTGGACGATGGTCTCGTCACTCAGAAGCATCTTCCGACCAACGTGGGCTCGCCCCCGTGCAGATCTGCTGGATTGTGCCGTACGCGAAAGCAGCGAACAGACGGTCTCGCAGAGACTTTCAGCGGCTCCGGACTCTGCGAACTTCTACCACTCTGTACTACTACTTCTATAGAGATTGGGCCATGACTCCGTTAAGATCTTGGCAGCAAGACTGTTCGCCGGAATCTGCAACGGCGCAGACAGATTTTTCTCTGATCTCTCTGTCTTGTTCTGTGTGTTCCTCGCTTTCCGTCTCATCATTCCTCTCTCTTGCAGGGAGGGCGGAACGGGGGGAGCGAAATGGGAACCGCCTAAACCGTGAAAACGGGGTTGTGGGGGATACATTAAAATTAGCTAAAATAATATTATATTTAAAAGGAATTACAAAAAAATGGTATAAGAACCAAAATATGTCCAATATTAAATAACCAAAAATCTTTGGAAAAATATCTTCTTTTAATAATATTTTAATTACATCCCCTTAAAAATATTTTTCTGATTTAATTGAAGGGAAAGAAGGAAGATTCCGTGAAAATTTACTTGGAATAAGGGTTGATTATTCAGGTAGATCTGTTATTGTAGTAGGTTGTAGTTGTAGCGGAACAGGCACGTTATGCTCGGGGATTGGTTCCAGTCTTTTTTTAATGAAACGCGCAAGCTTCACACTTCGGACCAGGAGGAGTCTGTATGGTGGGCGGTGGATATACTCTTGTGTTGCCACCCCGCCAAATAAACCGTGGTTTGAGTTGCTGGATCTAATATGCGATGGTTTGAATTGTTTATTTATTTATGAAAACATAGGGATAGTACGGGGCTAGCCCCAAATTTTTTGTCATTAAAATCATCTAAATCCTAAACGAGATTTTATGTATTGTTTCGTTTGACTTCTGACACTTTCTTGAATAGGGCCATGTGAAAGAAAATAGAATAAATATCTTCCACGTATAAAACAGAGGTAATTAATATTTGAAAGGAATATTATAATCCAAATTGATAAATAGGTTGAGGAGAGGTACCATAAATCTCAATGAAAAAAATTCATTACAAGCTTCTAAATCCACCAAAGAATTCCAACGTGTGCAAGAAATGACAATATCGTAATGTTAAGATAGATGATATAAGATGTGAAATGTAGAAACTAGCATGTTAGATTTGACATCCATATTTAAGTCAAAATTCAAATATGTCTGGATTTAATAAGTTCGATATAGCTTCAATTTTCTGTCCATTTAATCATTGTCTCTGCTTTATGAAGAGTCAATGTATCCAATGTTGAAAGTCGCTAATGCAAAAGTTTTTAACATAGTGATAACAATATTAATCAATACTTATTGCCAAACTTTGAAACTTGATGTTTACGTTGAAGATTCCATACATGAAATATTCCTTAGGAATTTAATTGGCTTTAGAAAAATGTGACAAAGCATCTTGTTTAACATCTATAAATTATTTTTTTCCTTAAATTGTTGAAAATAATATTTGTAATAAAATATTTTTTAAATTATATTAATTAAAGAGAGATTTTATAATGAAATGGGAGCGCTCTCCGGAGTATTAAGTTAGAGCACTTGTATTGGACATGGTATCCGTAGCATCAAATTGATTTTTTTATCAAAACAAGTACAAACAATCTACATGGTGAAAAAATATTACAAAGTGGTTCATGCTTTCTCTTTACACATACTACAATAATTGAATCTTCTTAAGAAGATGCTCAACAAGTGTCAAAAGGACATAAATTATTGGTCACATTATGGAAACATGATTTATTAGATGATTGATAAACTATAGAGTTTGTTTGTTCACATAAAAAAAAGAAGTACTTTTGTGCTTGGTTGTAGTCTTGATGTATCATAACGGCAATCATTGTTCCTGTGTTATTATCATGTCTTACCACATTGGTCATTTTACAATCAAAAAACATGATTTTGTTGCAACACCAAATTGAAATATAAAAAATGGTAATCAATTTATGTACTATCTTGGAGATCCATGAATTTGGAACTAATGTTGATTACATGGTGATTGCAAACGATGAGTTTTTCAATGTGGACGATAATAAATCACAATAAGTGATGTAATTGACCACATTCATAATAAAAAATCTTGGATTTGAGATTTGTTTTATAATATGCTTCCATATGAGAGTACGAGAATTGTGAAGTAAATTATTATTTACAACTTTAAATTAGTTAAGACATTTGCAATGTTCAAGTAGAAAATACATTCAAAATGAAGTTTGAATAAATGTGGCGCCTCAAGTGATGTCTTAAAATTAATTAATATACGCACAAGAGAATTCATTATTAATATTTTCAATTATATTAAACAATTTTGGAATGAATATTATGTTGATACTATTGAAAAAAATCACAAATTTTTTTTCCATAATTTAAATTATTTTTTGTAATTATGGAAAATCCTAGGCTTGGTGCAATCTCTTTTAGGTATTTGAAATACCCATCATAGCATCAAGGAACCTATGAAAAATAGATGATTTTTTACCTTAATAGGGACTCACCGCCAAGTCTTTCATCATTTGGCTATTTTTATTCATTGTTCTTCCATAATTAATTGAACAGTATTATACATAATGGGAGATACTTTATACTAGTCCATAGATTTCTCCTTGTTTGGATTTTCCGACTCACGATTAAATTTCTAGTATGTTATTGGTGTTCCATCTTGCATTTCACCTATCTATTCATCCATCCATCATACCATTTGTGTGTAGGCGTGACACAACAAAAGACATGAAAAATATATAGTTGTTGAGAAGATCATATGAATAGTCAATTTAACAATGAAATAATATTATATAGCATCACTCTTTATGTCATTTATAATTTTAATGGTTTCAAAAAGTTTTTATGTATAAAATGCAACTTTTTTTAATAAAATTGTTGTTGTTTAAATTTTTCAAAGTTGCATTTGTATCAAAGCTTGACAAGTTTAGTTCAAAGTTAAACTTTTTTGAAATTTTGATTTCTTGTGAATTCAAGAAAAATTATGATGTACCATGTGCATTTTGATCTAATATCAACTTTGTGTAATTTTTTTATTATTTAGTTCAAAATTTAGTCTAATTCTTGACAAAAATTAAAAGATTTGAACTTTTATATGTATTATAAAAAAAGTGGGTAGTTATACCTCAAATTAGGTTAATTATCCATCACCCTAGACTAATGCTCCCATGCCCTACTTCTTTTCCCCCTTTCCCTGTGATGCAAAGACTATATCATAGAGCTCTAGTATACATATGGATCGCTCCGTTTAGTATAGTAAGATGAGGTATAATTAGCCCAAATTGAGGGATAAATAAAGCCTCCATGTATTTATTATAATTTCACATTCTTGTATATGAAAAAATAACTACATGTAAAATAGATTTTTCTTAAAATATAAGTTAAATTTCATAAATGTATTTTGAAACATTTCAAATAATTATTTCATCAATAAATATCTCAAATCCAATGTTTTCAAGCAAATGGAGCAAGCGCCAACCGTAGTAGATTTATTATGATAGTTTATCTAGATGAAGTACTCCAAGACATGCAAATACAATTACGCCTAAAAGATAACTACAAGGGAGAATAGAAATGTTCATTTTCATCAACATATAGTAAGAAGATGAGGAAGTAGTACTAGAACCTCCAAATCCACAAGTGTAGAGTATGAAGATAACATTTGGACTTCGGATACACCCGCTTGATTTAGCAGTTAGAAATATCACTTTAAATAAAAGAGCAATTTATCAAAAATCTTTCATCTTTGGAATTTCATAATTAATTATCAAAATTTTATTCTATTTTATTGAAATATATAAAGTACATTGTTGACATTAAATTTACAATACTTCATATTTTGTGATAATCATCACACAATGTGAAGAATGATTACACATCTTTTTATTTTGCAATAAATCGAGAGAACATCCAAGCACCATAATGATTTGTATTGAATTCATCTCTTTATTTCTCTAAATTTGGAAGTGTATAAAGCAACGATCAAAGCATAGCAAATTATCACACAAAGAAAGAGGTACAAATCACCACATTTCTAACATTTAACATAAACCACTAGCTGCTTTTTTCAGTGTTATAGATAATATGGACTTGACAAATCTATGATAATAATGAGTTCTCAATGGTTGAAATTGTTTGTAGATATATATAATATTTAGAGAGGGCTAGTTATCACTGCACCAGCTATCCCTACGTATATTAGAGCTGTGTGATATAGTCTCTGCGGGAGAAGTAGTGCACATTACCCAAGGGTGACGGATAATTAGTCCATACCTAGGGATAACTAGCCCCTCCCTGTTTAACGTGGAACAGTTTATTTGTGCAGAGCCATAAAGGGTTTCCGACATAGCTTTGTAGTTTCATACTTATGATTGCGATGTAATATCCCTGTCCTTTTTGCTAAATTACTTTGTGCCCCACTATCTTTCACTCAGAATGGACGGACGGAAGTTTGTGTCTGTATGGTAAGCACTGTCAGTGGACACAAAACTCTCTCACCAACCGGATCGGAGATGCAAAATGATGGCAATGAAGAAAGTCTGCGGTGCCTCGAGGACAAACTGCGCGGTGTCAAAATACGACGCGACCAGCACAGAGGTCCAATTCGATCGCAGAACGGTAAGCGGTAAGCGGAGGCATCCATCGGCGGGAGTCAAAGCATCGCCACTCTAAACGACAAAAGCATCCGCAGCGTCGAAGGGCAGCGGACCGCGCGGGCCCGGCCGGGTCCGACGCTGACACTCACGTGACGAGGAAGAGAGGAGGAGGGTTTAAGGAGGAGCCCGGGCCAGTCCGGGTCTCGGCACGGCCCGGCCCGGCCCGGCCCGTCCTCCTCCCGATTTTGACCAGGACTCACAAAGCCTAAGCCCCGCCGCGCTCTCGCGCTCGCGCTCGAGTCTCGCTCGCTCGATCTCCCGATTGCTTCCGCCGGGGTTGGATTCCAGTCCACTCGAGGCCGACGATCAAAACAGCCAATTTCTCGACGTCCCTGTGGGCGAGGAGTGTGCGTGCGGGTTGCCCAGACGAGGGTCGGCAAAAAAGGAAGCATGAGACTGCTGGGGATCGAGTCGCGGGATTGAGCGATTGAGCGGAGGACGGTGGGTGGCTGGACTCTTGTTGAGTGTGGATTAAGAGCTGGAGCAGGGAGTGGAAAGGCAGCGGAAGTGCATATTTAGGGTCAGGACAGGATGGCGAGCGCGGAGCAGCTCGTTTTAGAGTTGATTGTGCCTGAGCAGAGGGAGAACGCGCTCCTCGACCTTTCGAAAGTGAGTTCTTTGCCCTTGAAGTTTTCCCAACGGGCTTGCTTTGTGGAGGAGGTTGGGAAACTGATCGGCGATCATTGTGTTGTGATCGTTTGGCCGTGCCCCGGGTTGAATCTGGAAGTTTGTGCTTTCTTGCTTAAGGGTTAAGGGTTTGTGAAACATTAATCTCCTGACAACTCTCAGAGCCTTTTGAACTCGTTTGCAGAAACGCGAAGCTTTCCCAGATTTGGCACCTATTTTGTGGCATTCATGCGGTACCATCGCAGCGCTCCTTCAGGTTAGTTCGAACAAATTACTCGTGGGTCATATTGGCGTTAGTAAGCCGGCCGACTGGAACCCGCCGATTGCGGTTAAGTCTTCAGATTTTCTTCGGCTTGAATAGAGGCTCAAATTGTCTGGACACTGAATCGTGTTCATCAGTTTTTTCAATTGTAGTATATTCGAATTAGGGGCCCGCTTCCCGTTACGTGTGTGCACGCCGATTTTAGTGGCCGTTGTCAATTAGGTTGCTAGGATCTGGGCTGAGTCGTTTATGGCCACATCTGAGAGGTTTCGCAGTCAAATGGCAGCCACCTGGTATGTGCGTTTCACGTGGGAATGTTTCGGAAAGCAACTCCTGAGCCTCAATATTGTTTTATGTATAGAGCGTCGACTTCTTCTTGGTGGAGTATTCCATGTAGTTAAGTAGACACGCAAGTTCGCTGAACTAGCGCTCGTAGTCATACTGGGACTTACATTGCTCTGATCTTCAAGAGTCCAAAATGCTTAAGACGCAGAGTTTGTAGACGTACAGTTACGGTCCATCATCTGGCCGAGGCAGCCGTACACACTTTTCTAGGGTTGTCATGAGAGTATTGCGTAGAAAACTTCAGAGAGACAACAGAATATTTCTGGGATAGCAAAGGAGGAGGGCGCAAAGTTGTCTTGAATAGTGAAGTCATACGTTCCCGGGCTCACGAATCAATTGGACGATGGTTTGCACTTCAGGAAATAGTCTCCATCTATCCCATGCTGTCTCCGCCGACACTCACGGCTGGTGCTTCCAACAGGGTCTGCAATGCATTGGCACTCCTACAGGTGCACTCTCAGCTTATTTGTGCTTTGAAAGTGTTATTGTGACTTCGACGATGGCTTCGAAGCATGAACATGTGATGCTTGCATTTGTTAAACATGAAGATGGTCTTGTTTCTCCACAGTACATCTCATTCCAACTCATGAAGTTCAATCATATTCCAAGTTCAGAGGATAGCATTCTTTTCAGTCGTCCGCATGTGGAGCGCGTTCATTTCTCTTGATGTTGAACTCATGATAGGAAGGTCTTTTGACTAATCCAGCTTTTGATTGTTACAGTGTGTCGCTTCCCATCCTGACACCAGAGCTCATTTCTTGAATGGTAAAGCTTCTCAGACATTCTACTGTTCAGATTACTGGTTACCGTCCTTATGTGGTCCTTAGTCTCAAGATGCGATAGAAGTGCTTGAAAAGTTGTCTAAAGCTACGCAGCGTAGATGTTGACCAATGACTGGAACTAGAATCTAGACGAAGATGGTACCTCTAGGATGTTAAAAAATTGTAAAATTTATGTAAGGATCTGGGCGGCCAAGAATGACTGCATTAGTTTCCCTGGAAGTATGGTGAAGATACATTCTCTAAAGAGCGTCTTCCTCACGGCACAGAAGATGCTCAGACGTGAAGACAAGAGCCACTAGAGATATACAGTACACGTTGTCGACATCATGCCTTGACGATCAAGTCTCTACAATCTGTGAATATTTGGAGCTCTAATGAATTGAAATTGTTTTGCTTTCCCAGCCCATATTCCACTATATTTATACCCTTTCCTCAATACCGTGAGCAAGACTCGTCCGTTCGAGTATTTACGTCTCACCAGTCTTGGAGTCATTGGTGCTCTTGTAAAGGTACGCTCTTCATCTCCACTGTACTCTTGTCTTGACTGCTAAGTTTTTTTAGCATTGTGAGATCTAGTTATCTCTCAGTTATTGTCAACTCTAAGAGATTAGCTTATAGAGAGCCGGTGATACAATCCACCCAGATGCTGATCATCTGGGTTGATTGAACATGTTGTGGTTTCGATGTAGTGCGAGACAATTCTATTACAAGCTCTATGAAAGTGGATGATATTTTATGTTCGTACAACGAAAGTCTATGCCTCTTCATATAGCAGTCGTGGAGCGATTGAGAAGAAGGTTTCAGATGTAGAAGTCGTCGATACTCACTGTCCCCAACTTTTAACTTCTTCCTTGTCTATGCATGGTGTCTGTCTGGTCTTTAGAGGGGATTACCAGTAACGTCTGGAGGAGACGTCCTAGCCGTAGGACACACTAGCTGAGATGCTTACCTGTTTACAGATCCTTCAGCCTTTCCTCTAGTGAAATCTGTGGGACAGTTTGAGAAATTTAGATTGTTATGGGGAGGCGCTGCATTTCTTTTCTTTGTCACCTGAGTTGTTGGTTTGCTTTTTTGGTTCCCGTGGAAGCTCTGATGAGCCTTCCTATCCTCTCCTTCTTTTCTTCTTGAGTTCGTAACAATTTCTAATGCGTCATGTTAGTGTGTGCAGGTTGACGACACTGATGTTATCAACTTCCTTCTTTCTACTGAAATTATACCCCTCTGTCTACGAACAATGGAAATGGGAAGTGAGCTCTCGAAGACGGTGAGCATTTTGTCAATCTTACTTGAACTCGAGCTGACTTTGAGGTTGTCTGTCCCAATTGAGCATCAGTTCTCAACCAGAATTCTCGGTATTCTGTAGGTGGCAACTTTCATCGTTCAGAAAATTTTGTTGGACGATGTGGGCTTATCGTACATATGTGCCACTGCGGAGAGATTCTTCGCAGTGGGTGCTGTTCTCGGCAACATGGTCAACATATTGGCCGAAACCCCATCTGTCCGGCTTTTGAAACATATCATACGATGCTATCTTCGGCTGTCTGACAATCCAAGGTATATTAAAATTACTGTCAATCTCTTCCGATTATTTGATGTCCAGATTTTTTTTGATTATGAGGACTGGATGATTATACTACATCGAATGATTTTTGGGGAACTTTTAGATCTCAAGGCAACTTGTCTTAAACATGGAACCCTTGTTTTAAACTCATCTACCCATCATAATCAAAGGTTGAGGGGAAGAGTTGTAAGGTCCGTGAAAGAGGGCATTATTACTCCCTGATCTGTGTCGAAGAGTTTTGTCCAATGGTCTTCAATCAAATTTTTTCACTGCATGTTGGGATTAACCGTTGTTTCACTCACATCAGGTCTTTATCTAGAAGTAAGTACTTACTTTTTTGGGCGACCGGAAAATTTGGTTGGATTTTGTTTTAGCCATATTCAAGCCTTGTGTCTCGTTCTGTATTGCTGCCGACAAATCCGTTCTGTGGAGACTTAAGTCAAATATATTTATAGGGATTCAGGCATATGACATGCGTCACAAGAACCTTCAGCCATATACTTCAGAAGAGTGGGGCTGAATAACATTATTTGACTCTATTTTGTGGTATGCACCTACCTATATCTATGTAGGCCTCGTACTAGCTAGCGTAGTGTCTTTGATGATTGACAAGTCTTTGATGATTTTGGCAGGGCCTGTGAAGCTTTGAAGTCTTGTCTTCCAGATCTACTCCGGGATGGTACATTTAGTGCTTGTTTGCGGGTAAGTGATTGCTTGCAGAATTGCATTGATGCACAAAGTTGTTTAGTTCTGTACATTGCCTGTCAGCTATACCAAAAAGTTAGGTTTCTACCGCAAAGGTGTAGAATGTTCATGATAACTGTGCACTATAATGTTTGTCACAACCTCGGGATTGTGTGAACAATCGGGATGATCAATTTATTGACTCTCGATATGGAGCAAAGAGGAATGTGATAAATAGGACAGTTTGAAATGGAAGGCGCCGTAAGGCTGTAGTTGGTGGAGAAAGAATAGAAGTTTGTTGGCAGAAGGGATTATCTTTGCTGAAAGTTAGAGCAAATTGTGATTCTAGATTTGGCGATAAAAGTATATGTCCGTCATAAAATTCATGTACAGTCCGTGTTAGATAACTGTACCTTAACAAGTTAGGCTCAGTACTCTCTATGTGATAAAACACACGTCGGAATCCATGTTAGCCAGCTTGTTTTCTGAACCCTTGCCGTTCAATGTTTTCGCATGATATCGTGTAATCTATCCATCAAAACTTCCGTGTATGATACAGTTTATATGTTCCTCATTTACTTTGACATTGACTCTGTGCAGGAGGATCTGACCACCAGGAGGTGGCTGACTCAGTTACTATTGAATGTCGGTGGCGGTCAGATGCACCCACCTCAACGAGTTCCTGCAGGTATGGCTGGTGGTCCGCTTTCATCCATGGAGCAGCTAATCGGTGGACAGTAGTTTCTGTGCGAGCTCCTCCTTCAGGAGCTTCAGTAAGTTGCTGTAAATGTGGTTCACACATCCGATGGTAAGCTAATGGGGTACCAGACGTGAATGCCCGTTCTGTCCAGAAATGACTGATCATCCACAGAATATCCATGTCCACGGTTTGAACATATAGAGAACTTTCTATATCCCTCTGCGCCAGTACCATAGTGGGACCTTTGTAAAATCGGAAATGTGTCTCTAGAGATTGGGTGTTAAATAAGCAGTACAGTTTCTCTTAAGTACAGATTGTGCCAATGATGCCAAGAATATCGAATTTCAAATGTTGGGTGGAGTAGTGGTCGAAGTGTTTCAGCTAGTGTGGCATTGGTCGCCGTCTCCACCTTCTCGATTATGCCTCACGATGGAGGGTATCGACCTTCCCATCTCTGTGACCCTACTAATATGGTTCGGTACGGATACTTTGTACAATAGTGGTGGGCTTTTGCCCTCTGTAGATCAGCACTCTTGTGTAAGAAGACAAGAGATTTGAAGCCCATAAAGTTGAGGTGGGGTCCCGATTACGTAGACAGAAGAACATGAAAAGTGAGAAGCAGAGGTGTAAACTGAGAGCCAGCTTGTATCATGCAACCAGTTTTGTGATTAGTCATAAATTCACCATAATTTCGGTGAATTTAAGAATCTTAAGGCCTTTGGATACAGTTTTTATAACTTTTGACTTCTTTTTCGGCTACGCGTGTCAGTCAAGTCACCTGAAAGAGACTGAGTCAGTTGAGATTCACTTTGGTTAAGTAACGTTTTTTGGTCCTCTCCACTGATGCATGCTCTGATGATATCCTGAGCTTCCTTTGAGCTGCTTCACCTCATAATAATGAATCCATTGTAACAATCTAAACTGAAGTACTGTACCCTACGGACAGGAATGTGATGGAATTGGATTGGTACGCTGTTCCTTCGAGCTGTCACTCAAAAGGTTATGCCACCAGTCTCCTCATATTGTTGCGCCCATTGTCATCAAAAGTGCAGGTATTAACAAGGTATATGAAGGGTAGTGAGAAAGGAGGAGCGTGGACGAAGAAAAACCCATAGCTTATTTTAGATGTCGTAAGACGCATTCAAAGTGATTTGTACCTACTTGTGCTTTCGAAGCGTTCGTCTCCGGGACGGATATCTAAAGGAAATGGCTTCTCAGGTCCACAACAAGCCATTCCAAGCCGTTACAACAGAAGTCTTAGTTGTTTGAATGTGATGGTTTCACAAAAGATATTGAAGATCACAATCTTAGGAAGACCAGGACGCTTATGTGAGGTAGTAGACGCGTCTTTCTGGAGTTCGACTAGAAACACCGAAGACATTCTACCCAAGCCTTATGGTTCGTAAGTAACTTGTTAATAGTAGCAGCAATGGACACGGCACTCGCTACACCTCGCATCTCGCAATGCCCTAGCTGTTCCTGGCAACGATAAAGAAGTCAATAAGCTCTTCTTAACGTTAACATCTCCATCATTTTATTAGCCGGACAGATGAGTATTCTGTCCAACTCTGGGATGAGACTGCATCATCTAATTAGCTGGACAGAGATGAGTTTTCTGTCTAACTCTGGGATGAGGCGTAAAATGCTTTACAGTTTGGATAATTTTTTAGAAACGATTATAATGAAACAAAAATCATAATAAAATTACCTTGATTAATACAAACAGCCGGAGCCATGGTAGACACACACATAATATCCAAACTGAAAATAAAAGGAGAAAATCAAATATATTTCTGCTAGAAAGGACTATGTCTCAATTGTGCCTTTGATCTCCTACACGAATGTAACTTGCAAATTGGGATTACAGTTGGAAGTCTAAAAAAAGCACTCAATGTAAAGACTAAGTTCTAACGCATATTCTTTGTCTAAAGTATGTGGATGCAATAAGACTATCAAAAATCTAATATGGTGCTTCTCAGCCTAAACTCAGGAAGAAAATTTTTGGGGGGAGTGGCTAGTTATCTTATGATTAATTAGCCCTCACTCTACTCCAAGCTTTTCTCTCATTGGTAAATGCAAGGTTATAGGTTATAGATTTTTCATGCGATTAACAATTAGGTTAAGGTGTAGGGTATTCGACCAATCAGAAAATCATATATACTAGGCTGAGGGTTAATTAGCCCTCGTTATAAGTGTGATAACTAACACTCCCCATATTTGGTACTTTCAAACGTGGCAAGTATCTGTCGATTAGGATACGTAATTAGAACAACGTGGTATGTCTTGGACATTTGGAGATATAATGAAGTTGTCTTTGATGTGAAGGTGTACCATCACTTTTTCCAAAAATCCATGACCAAGTTACACGTGGACACATGATCGATCGTTAAGTACCTTGTGCATTGGTCAAAGTTAGGAAGTTGCTGCCAGGCCCTTACGCTCTTTAATCAGCTCGGGTATGACTTTCTCGAATCTCAATCCTTCCTGTTGCCTTACAGTATATAGTCGAAGCTGGGTTGTATAAAAATCAAGAGGGAAAAGTCCGTCCTGAGGAAGTTCTGGAGCGTACGCGTTCGTTCCTTTTCTAGCACCATGCAATCATGCATTTGATTTGATTTGATTTCCTCTCATTCCTTTCCTTTCCTCGTCTCGACTTTCATTTCATCTCATTTCATTTTAATTCTATACAGAGCCTCTCGCCCTGGCATTCACACGTACACATTTACCCAAGTCTCTCTTTACCTGACCATCCCTCCGGATCTCGTTGATCTGTGCTTGAGAAGTGGATAATCTTCTTCAGAATCTGCCACTTTTGTCACTTCTTCACGTTCTTAAAGCTCCCCATCTTCTCCAATTATCCTCGTCGTTTCCAGACAAGCACTTTACGAACTTCCTCCCATACTTCCCTTTACAGGACTCCGATCCATTATTCCCCTGGCCATCATTTCGATTATGTTCGTGCTACGGTCCTTTCGATACAGACACATGCACATTCTCACTATTTGTAAGCATACATTCAACAAATCACTCGATCCATCACCATCGATTTTTAGTCATTACTCTACCTTAACTTTTCCACATCCATTCGCCATCCTCGCCCCCTCTCACTCATTCTCTGTCCCTAATCGAACAAATAAAATACAACCACGACAACTTTCTTTAATTCCCAATAGTCTTCTGGTTAGATCCAAGCTCACAGCCCGGTCTCGATTCCTGGGTGGGCAGTGTGCAGATCCTGCCCTGCTATGCAGTAAGCAGGGTCTCCAAGAGACGTACTATGAAAATTCCACAATGAAATGAAATACAAGAGATGATGAGCTTTGGAGAGAGTCTCATATAAATACTATCAATGGACTCACTAATAAAAGTGAGGAGCAAATTACACGTCCATGGTGTAACTTCGATACTCGAAACAACAACTAAAAATAAACGCTACCCTACTACCTAGGCGGGTGCACTACATCAACACCTCCTCTTACACCAGACATATAAGAAACTCCTTAGATTCTAACACAGTGAGGTCTTCAGTTCTTCAATTTCATCGGCATTTCCTCCTCTCATTTCAAGATAGTAACTTCACAATGCCAATTGCCAAAGACCATACATGATGCATATACTACCACCTCTTCATTGTATCATGTTATGCTTACTCCTCTTCGAAGACAAGCGTGTGAATTCACTGAATTGTGTCATTTACATGAATTGGTCACACATGAATTCTAGAGTTTATAATTTGGACAACGTCATGGCTTGTCCAAGACTCATCACTCATATCCTATGCATGAAGCTTTGAAATTTGACTTTTCCTAGCGGTTTTGTGAAAATATCAGTTAGCTAGTTTGTTGTGATAACATGATGAATGCCAATTTCTCCAGATATGATATTCTCTCTTACAAAATGATAATGAACCTCTATATGCTTAGTACGTGAATGATACACAAGATTCCATGCAATCTTCATGCAACTCTCATTGTCTATGAAAATGAAGGTTGTTATCTGATCAGATGACTTCATTTCCTTGAACAATTGTTGTAACTATGATGCTTCCTTGGAATCATCATACAGTGATTGGTGCTTGGCTTCTGTGAACGAGAGCAACAAAAGGTTGTTTTTTTGAAATTCATGTAATTGATCCGACTCGAGTTGAAACAAGTAGCCAAAAGTTGATTTTTGGCTTTCACAATCTTCCATCAATTCCGCATCGGTCCAACCACTCATCACGGATGATTCTACTTTTCTGTACAAAATTTCAAAATATCTTGTGCCGTTGAAGTAACGGAGCTCATATCGTGCAACATCAATGTGTATCTTGCATGGGTTACTCATGAAGCGACTCAAAACGCTCCCGTGGCGTACACAATGTCTGATCAAGTTGTAGTGAGATACAATTGCTTGACAAAGATGTGGCGATACAATGTAACATCAGTAGGTTCCGATTCAAGTTTGACATCCAGCTTGAACCCTTCTAGTAGTGGCGTCAAAGTTGTTGCACAATCACTCATGCCAAATTCGTTCAACATGTCTGATACATATTGACGTTGGTTGAGAAAGATGAATACTTCAAGATGCAAGAATTTCACTCCTAGATAGAATCTAAGAGACCCTAGAATTTTCATTTCAAATCTAATTTGTAATTGATCTTTTAGCCATGCCATTTTTTCACTATCATTACGAGTTATCAGAAACTCTTCTACATAGAGGATGAGAATAACAACTTTTGTTCCATTTTTGAGAAATTACAAGTTGTAGTAGGCATCGTTACGGTACAATCCTTGACTTGAAGGTAGATGTCAATCTTCTTATATCACACTCGCGGTGCTTGACGAAGTTCATATAATGCGCACATTAATTTGCATTCTTTGGTCTCTTGTCCATGAATGTGAAATTCCTCCGGCTGCTTCATGAACATCTACTTTCGTAAGTCTCCGTTCAAGAAGGCCGTTTTCACATCTAAGTGGATGATCTTCTATCCACTTTGGTCAGCGAATGCCACGAGTGATTGCACGATACTCCATTTTATCAAAGGTGCAAACGTCAACTCAAAATCCACCCCGACTTTCACACGTCACTAATCGTGATTTCAGCTTGTCCGAGCTTCCATCCAAAGCCGGTTCTATCCTATAGACCCATCATGTAGAGATACTTTGCTTGCCAACTGGAAGATTGACTAGCTGTCAAGTTCCATTCTATTAATGAAGTCAATTTCACTTTGCATGACGGTCATTCAACCATCATGCATTGATGACTTTTGAAAGTTGCTGGATTCACTTGTATTGTTGACAGCCAAGACAAAGTCGTGTGACCCTTCCACTCCTTCATTGTCACTAATAACAAAAGCTCTCCAATACTCGCGGAGCCATTTGGGTGGCCACCTTTTTCAAATCGGGTTTGTTTGTATTCTTGGCACGATGTGAATGGATGTTGATGAAGTCTCGGATGAGCTAGTAGATGGTGGTGAACTACTCATGAGTGATGACAAATTGTTGCTATTCGGAAGGAATTGCTCATCTTCACTCGACCAGTCATGTTGTAGAGCAGGAATTGAATCACTACTATCAAGGTGATGAACAGGTGGCAACTCAATACTCGTTACTCTAAAAATGCCGGTTGAAGACTGTTCAGTACTCTCTCGGTTGGAGTGGTCAACTAGTGCCATAGTACATTGTTCATCTCTCGATGATTCTGATGACTCATAATTAGGAAAACTTAGAGGAAATGGATCAACATTCAATTTTTCTTCGTTAGCAAAAGATTTCTCATCAAACTTAACATTCCGTGCGATTATTATTTTTCTACGTCTTTGATTGTAACATCT